GTCGGAGTAGGCAAGTCTCGGTCGTTTTGTGTTGGAGTCTGCAAGTTTCTGCGCCACAGTCTGCGAGTGGCACGCGCGCGATAGGGACATATCCAAGTGCTTTGGTGAGTGGTTTGGATTCTTCAATGGAATCAACCATGGACATCGCACCTGTTTGCTGGTCGCGGGTACATGGGCGATACAGCGGACCATTGGATATGTCTGAGTGCTGTTATGTCGGAGTAGGAGAGTCTCGGTCGTTTTGTGTTGGAGTCGGCAAGTTTCTGCGCCACAGTCTGCGAGTGGCACGCGCGCGATAGGGACATATCCAAGAGCTTTGGTGAGTGGTTTGGATTCATCAATGGAATCAACCATGGACATCGCACCTGTTTGCTGGTCGTCGGTACATGGGCGATACAGCGGACCGTTGGATATGTCTGAGTGCTGTTATGTCGGAGTAGGAGAGTCTCCTTCGTTTTGTGTTGGAGTCGGCAAGTTTCTGCGCCAAAGTCTGCGAGTGGCACGCGCGCGATAGGGACATATCCAAGTGCTTTGGTGAGTGGTTTGGATTCATCAATGGAATCAACCATGGACATCGCACCTGTTTGCTGGTCGTCGGTAGATGGGCGATACGGCGGACCGTTGGATATGTCTGAGTGCTGTTATGTCGGAGTAGGCAAGTCTCGGTCGTTTTGTGTTGGAGTCGGCAAGTTTCTGCGCCAAAGTCTGCGAGTGGCACGCGCGCGATAGGGACATATCCAAGTGCTTTGGTGAGTGGTTTGGATTCTTCAATGGAATCAGCCATGGACATCGCACCTGTTTGCTGGTCGTCGGTACATGGGCGATACAGCGGACCGTTGGATATGTCTTAGTGCTGTTATGTCGGAGTAGGAGAGTCTCGTTCGTTTTGTGTTGGAGTCGGCAAGTTTCTGCGCCACAGTCTGCGAGTGGCACGCGCGCGATATAGACATATCCAAGTGGTTTGGATTCATCAATGGAATCAACCATGGACATCGCACCTGTTTGCTGGTCGTCGGTACATGGGGGATACAGCGGACCGTTGGATATGTCTGAGTGCTGTTATGCCGGAGTAAGAGAGTCTCGGCCGTTTTGTGTTGGAGTCGGCAAGTTTCTGCGCCACAGTCTGCGAGTGGCACGCGCGCGATAGGGACATATCCAAGTGCTTTGGTGAGTGGTTTGGATTCTTCAATGGAATCAACCTTGGACATCGCACCTGTTTGCTGGTCGCGGGTACATGGGCGATACAGCGAACCGTTGGATATGTCTGAGTGCTGTTATTTCGGAGTAGGAGAGTCTCGGCCGTTTTGTGTTGGAGTCGGCAAGTTTCTGCGCCACAGTCTGCGAGTGGCACGCGCGCGATAGGGACATATCCAAGTGCTTTGGTGAGTGGTTTGGATTCTTCAATGGAATCAACCTTGGACATCGCACCTGTTTGCTGGTCGCGGGTACATGGGCGATACAGCGGACCGTTGGATATGTCTGAGTGCTGTTATGTCGGAGTAGGAGAGTCTCGGCCGTTTTGTGTTGGAGTCGGCAAGTTTCTGCGCCACATTCTGCGAGTGGCACGCGCGCGATAGGGACATATCCAAGTGCTTTGGTGAGTGGTTTGGATTCTTCAATGGAATCAACCATGGACATCGCATCTGTTTGCTGGTCCTCGGTACATGGGCGATACAGCAGACCGTTGGATATGTCTGAGTGCTGTTATGTCGGAGTAGGAGAGTCTCGTTCGTTTTGTGTTGGAGTCGGCAAGTTTCTGCGCCACAGTCTGCGAGTGGCACGCGCGCGATAGGGACATATCCAAGTGCTTTGGTGAGTGGTTTGCATTCTTCAATGGAATCAACCTTGGACATCGCACCTGTTTGCTGGTCGCGGGTACATCGGCGATACAGCGGACCGTTGGATATGTCTGAGTGCTGTTATTTCGGAGTAGGCAAGTCTCGGGCGTTTTGTGTTGGAGTCGGCAAGTTTCTGCGCCACAGTCTGCGAGTGGCACGCGCGCGATAGGGACATATCCAAGTGCTTTGGTGAGTGGTTTCGATTCTTCAATGGAATCAACCATGGACATCGCACCTGTTTGCTGGTCGCGGGGACATGGGCGATACAGCGGACCGTTGGATATGTCTGAGTGCTGTTATTTCGGAGTAGGCAAGTCTCGGCCGTTTTGTGTTGGAGTCGGCAAGTTTCTGCGCCACAGTCTGCGAGTGGCACGCGCGCGATAGGGACATATCCAAGTGCTTTGGTGAGTGGTTTCGATTCTTCAATGGAATCAACCATGGACATCGCACCTGTTTGCTGGTCGCGGGGACATGGGCGATACAGCGGACCGTTGGATATGTCTGAGTGCTGTTATGTCGGAGTAGGAGAGTCTCGGCCGTTTTGTGTTGGAGTCGGCAGGTTTCTGCACCACAGTCTGCGAGTGGCACGCGCGCGATAGGGACGTATCCAAGTGTTTTGGTGAGTGGTTTGGATTCTTCAATGGAATCAACCATGGACATCGCACCTGTTTGCTGGTCGCGGATACCTGGGCGATACAGCAGACCGTTGGATATGTCTTAGTGCTGTTATGTCGGAGTTGGAGAGTCTCGTTCGTTTTGTGTTGGAGTCGGCAAGTTTCTGAGCCACAGTCTGCGAGTGGCACGCGCGCGATATGGACATATCCAAGTGCTTTGGTGAGTGGTTTGGATTCATCAATGGAATCAACCATGGACATCGCACCTGTTTGCTGGTCGTCGGTACATGGGCGATACAGCGGACCGTTGGATATGTCTGAGTGCTGTTATGTCGGAGTAGGAGAGTCTCGTTCGTTTTGTGTTGGAGTCGGCAAGTTTCTGCGCCACAGTCTGCGAGTGGCACGCGCGCGATAGGAACATATCCAAGTCCTTTGGTGAATGGGTTTGATCCATCAGTGGAATCAACTATAGACGTCGTACATATTTGACTCGCATAAAATAAGATTCGGTTGTTACCAAATAATAAAAAAAGTCTAAAGGACCGCGATATTTTTAGAGCTTTCTCTCTAACCCGAAATTCTCACTTATGGATTTCACCTGTTCCGAATTTTATAATTTATTTTAATAAATAATCAACAAGAACATAATAAAAGTTTAAAAAGTTTGTTTAATTTTTTACTTAAAACTTTTGTACTTACCATAAACATAGAATTTAAATTATGTTTAAGTATTTAATTTGTATAACTGGATGTCTCTGTATTTGATGAAATCGATGTATTTACATTCAATAACTCTACTACAGATGGTATTCCACACCTGCTTGTTAGAAGTTTGGAAAACAGCTGATGATTGTAATAAAATGATACATATATATAATAAATTGATAAACATATTAAGTAGTTTTTGTTATATCCAAACCAGCTGTCACTCGTGACTTTTGCGCGGAATTAAAAAAAAAATTAGTAGCCTATGTGTTCTTCAAGACTATGTTCTATTTGCCAAATTTCATCGAGATCCGTTCAGCCTTTCTGGAGTTACCTTCAAAGAAACATCCATCCATCTAAACATTCACATTTATAATATTAGTAAGATTAATATGTCACACTAATAATACATACCAGTACGTGTATATAAATCTATTTTAATTTATTCCCATTCGTTTATATTTTATCCATATCTCATTATTAAAACTAGGATCAGAAACAATTGTCATATTGTGATATACAAACAAACTTTTTATTCAAAAATTTTAAGTCTACTTACAAATTGTGCAAAATTTATGAAAGATTTGTATGACAAAGATACTTTTTTCTTAAAATGACTCTTAACCCATAATTATACATTAATTAACACATTAAATTTATTTATAACTTAATCTATATCTAATTTTCTAAAGCTTCCTTCTATTGAAACGGTACCATCTTTGATTACGGGTCTGTTTCTGGAAGAAGTGATTCCTCTGGTGCTTAATATCTCCATGTCGTCCAAAGCTAGAAGTTTTTTCTTCTGACAAGAGAGCAGCTGTCTTGTGTAAGAGATCATGTCTTGAAGTTGCAAAGGACCTCCGTATGACGTAGGTAAACAAGTGACACTCAAATTCTTATGCAGTTGTTTGAGATGCGTATGAATCTATAAAACAAAATAAATTTATGAACTAAATAATTTTTTTATTACATTAGCATTAAAATTTAATACTATTTCAGATCAGATTTAATAGAACTATTTTTATATCTTACATTTAATCTTTGTGCCATTTTTGATGAGACTTTGCTGACTGCAAAATCGATAATATATTTAAGTGCGGACGGAATATTGACGAGGTGGAAATCCTTGTGTCGCATCGGAACTGATTGCTAAAAAAAGAAAAGAACAATCGTTACACAAAAGACACTTAGAGGTGAACTAGATATTGATATGAACAATACACTCTTTCGCTCTCTTTCTAATCACCATTTGGCTATTACTATCTCTTTCGTGTAACGAAAACTGTTTCAAGGTGACGCGGTCTAAAAATTTTATCATTGGTTATTCAAAATATATTTCTATGGGAATAAAATGTTTGCCATCTATGCCAAAATCCGTTGAGTTCAGAAACAGAATTACATCAATATTTATTACATGCATTAAATAATGGTATTTTCCTACTTCTGGTATTAATAACTTACAATTACATATCTATTTTCTTGTTCATACGTTGATTATAAAGGAAATAGTTCATTAAATATATATGCTAAGGACGCATATATTAAAACTTTACGCTTGAATTAATATAACATTAATGTTGCTATTGGAATCGTGGGTATTTCAGCATTTCATGTCTGCCTTCACACGCAAGGAGAGTTGCCTTTTACAACGACTTGTCACTTAGTAGCAGCGCCACCTACACTGTTTGACCGTGAATGATATAATTCAAACAACCACAAAGTAATATCGAAAAAAAAGATACTACAATTAAAAAAAACAGGAATGTTATATTCTAGAATCGTCAGAAAATTCGCTAGAATTTTTTTTTATTTAGTGAAATGTAACTATTTTGACTACACCAATAATCGTATTAACCCTTAAATGGACGATTTTTTTTTTACGTTTTAAAAAAATATATTTGTGTAATCATTTATTTTTAATGCATAAAAATATTGGATAGTGCCAACATTAAAAAAAGTACAAAATTCGTTCAGAAATAAGAACTAGTTGTCAAAATTAACAAAAAAATAAAATAAAGATAATTTTATCTGTGATGTTTAGTATGTTGTTTAAAAACAACATTGTCCATTTAAGGGTTAATACAATATTGTGGTGTCTGTTTTGTCAAATAGAATAGACTCTGAAACTACTGAACCGATTTCTCTATTAGGAAGCTACACTATACCGTTCTTTTATTCCGCGCGAACGAAGACGTGCCTAATATGTAACACAAAAGTTAATAAAGGTATAGGGTAATAGAGATCCATACCTCTCCCCACTTCAACATTCTACCGAAGTCAGTTGGATTCCAGGCGGTGATGTGAGCGGCAGTTACTCCAGAACCTTCTCCAACGTGTGTGAAACCCATTACTTGATCAACGGGGTCGTCCAACAGGCTCTCATATACGACAATATGCACTCGGCACATATCCCAGCATGTGAATTTGTTAGCGTTAAATTTACCTATTGAAACAAAATTAATTATTTCTAACCGTTGAATTACACTGCCGTGATACTTGCAAGTATCATAGTTTGTTTCAAAAAGGGATGACTACAAGTATAAAGAGTGTTACAAGGCGCACGGCAATTGAATTTCTTGGTTACAAAGTCGTATAGTTCGCTGCAACGTAATACAAATAGTAATTACATGTATAATCGTGGTATTCCGCTGTCGAAACATATTTATATTATTTGTAATGTTATCGCTGTTTATTTAAAGATAATACGAGAGATGGTAATACATTTTTGTACAAGTATGTTGTCAGTGAAATCCCACAGTCAGTAAGTGTCGCGTCTTGACTTAATGTGATGGTAGAGCGCTGGCTTAACATAAAATAATAGTTTACGATGGAAGATGTTAGGATATGATTAAAATTTGCAGAAAAACAATATATAAGATAGCAAAATATAGTAAAATTTAACAAAGATCTTGCAGTTTGTGGCAAAGCGTGAAAATTGCGGCGCTTTAAATAGAAACAAAACAATAGCGTTTATAAATACTGCTATAAAAACTTGCATAGCCTCGCTTCAAATATAATAAAAGCAATTCATACTCATGTTATAAACGATGACACGTCGCCCCTTGTTGTCGCGAACTGGCGATACAACAATGTATCTGAAAATTAAATACTAATTTAGTCCTTACTGTGGCGTTCAAACCTACTCCAGCTTGGGGTGACTAGGCTACAGTCAACCACACTGGCGTAGTGCGCATTGGTTGACTTCACACATATCTTTGAATATCTTTTACGATATGTGCAGTTTGCTTCACGATGTTTTCCGTCACACTTAAAAATACATACAAACACCTAATCTAAACCATTAGGTTTGGCGCTTAGATTATGGTCCAGTCCGTTCTTGCACTTAACAACTGCGCCACAGTCGCCCTACCTTACCTTAATATCGTATAATTTAAGGCATACTGGAAACTCCTTAGTGAGAAATAAGAACAGATTTGGATGAAATTTATAACACGTAGCCCAGAATAGCGTTTAGAATAACTCCGATTTTTTTTTAATTCAATGCGGTCGAAGTCTCGCATGACAACAATTATCATACAACATTGTTGCAAAATACAATTTGCTAATATTGTTATAGTGTTCAAGGGAACTTACCCGCTGTTCAATAATTCAGCAACATTAGGCTCGTCACAATCGAGGTTGGTGAAACACTCCGGATAGTATTTCCTTAAACTTAGATATTTTAACAATGTCTGTTGAGCCATTGGTATACTGTATTTCTTATGACGAAGAAAACGTAATAAAAAGTTGTCATCTGCAAAAAAATATTATATAATTTTTTTAATGACAGTTTTTTTTTTCAATTTCAAAATAATATCCTAATTATAAAGTTAATTAATGTTAGTCGATATCACTATTCCACATGACGAGAATCTCGTGAAAGCTGAAAAGGAAAAAGTGTTAAAATACCTAGATTTGGCTCACGAGGTTACCGCCATGTGGCGTATGAAATCGACTACCATTATTCCGATAGTCGTATCGGTAAATGGACTGATAGCGAAGAGCTTCGACCAACATCTCAAGAAGCTCTCGCTAAACAGTTGGATTAAGGGCCCGATACAAAAGGCAGTTATCCTAGAAACCGCGCGCATCGTGAGAAGGTTCCTGTCTCTGCAGCCCTGACCACTGGTTGTTTGAGTCATGGGATTCCGCAGCCGGTGGTGTTCTCTTTTTAATATAATATGTTTTGTATATATATATATATATTTTACATGAAATGTATTATATTAGAAATGTGATAAATAAATGTATATGGAATTATAAGTTAATTATAATGAAAATAAAGTAATAAAAATATGCAGTCGTAATATTAAAATTATTTATTATGTCAATAGAATAATCCGGTTTCCAAATCTCATTGAAAAACCACAATAAGGATAAAATAATAGCTGTAATCTCAAATAGACATTTTAAATTAAATGCAATTGAAAATATAATTAAATTGTATAATACTGTCTAAATACTGGTATAAAATTATATTTTCAATCACTGACTTTGAGAGAAACTTCAATAATATTATTTTACTTTTTTTTCTTAAACTAAAACTTCCGGTGAGTAAAGTTTTTGTATCTGTTTTTTTCCCTTGCTATTTCTTTTTTATATCATAAGGTGGCAAACGAGCGAGCGGCCGTTTGAAATCGCTGAAATAGCGAAGTGAGCGTTGCCACTACATTCGCAATTACATATGGGTCGCGTCGCCTACCTTTAATCGACGGAGGAGATGATGCACAGAAAGAAAATATTTTCCCTTTCCATGCATCCTCTCATCCGGAAAGTCCACTTCCACTTCCCATCCTTTCCTTATAAGAAAAAGGGTGGGAAGCGAAAGAGGACTAAATAAGGCCACCGGGACGAACACTCATCAGACGAAATGCGGAATTGCTTCCACTTCACGCCTGTCTTCTGTGTGGTCGTGGTATTTCATCGGGCGAGCCGGGCCAATTCGTGCGAAGATCTTTTTTTTTTATAACAGAAGGGGGCAAACGAGCAGCGGGAACACCGAGGTGTTCAACGACGCCCATGGACATCAGCAATACCAGAGGAACCGCAGATGCGTTGTTGCGTTAGATCTTAAAGCGGGCTCTACAACTGTTAAGCTTCGACTGGACTAATAGTCGTAATCGGCTGGCCAGGGGCGACCAACCGATATATAAATAAATCTGATATAGGTATATGCTATAAGTATATTTTCCGGTAGCATTATCAGAAGTTGTTACAAGATTGCAGTCGCGCGGAACCAATCTGGTTTCGTTTGACCTTTTCGATATTTGATTCAATGTTATGCAATTGAACATACATATTATACGCAAAACGGAAACAGTGTAATAGCAAGCAGGGTACTTGCCTCCTGTTTATTCTATCCGGTAATAAACATGAAACAAATAATGATTCCTACTGGTGCAACATCTAGCGAAAGTACAGTTTAGGAGTCGTTTAAAACTACGGTATATTGGGATGATATGGTCGGATCCTAATGCCACCAGTAGCGGTCACTAGCTAAGAAATTTAATTAGAGAAAGGCAATACAGTACCCGGCATTTTGTGCATCGGCAACAAAACTTGTCTGCTTCAACTTCACGCGCTTCCTGTGGCTCTTATTAAATGGGCAAACGACTACTCTGATTGCTGAAGACCCAACTACAACGGCATTTACTAAAGTAGTTAAAAATGTAACATTAGTATACCTTGTCGAACGTTTCTTATATCATGATTCTTTTGTATCCATTCTCTCATGATAGAGAGGGCTTGTTCTCTTATCGATGATGTTTCCCGAAGCTCTCGAGCCGCGACCGCCATGAAGTCCCCAGGCGTGTGACTCATAATATCGTCTTCACGTTTTTCATCGCCGGTTCCCAATGTTGTGGACACAGTAAGCAGAACATTTGCCGACTGCATTATACTGTAAACATAGTATATTAAGGATAATTAAAACGTTCAATGCCGCCCTGCGAGTTCACTTAAATAAGAGAAAACCGTCGTGGCATTGACTATGTTATGTTCATCTAGATATTATGATTATTTTAGATGATTTTTTTTTGTTAATAAATACAAAAAATTGTATATGAGTAAGAAAAAAAGAGTTATAAGAATATGATTTTTAATTTCGTATGTTTTTATTATTAACCTTCCTTTTCATTGGAATCTAAATGTGCATATAAACGAGGTAATTGAATATGCAAATACTAGGAAATGCAATCTACCAATCAAGCCATACGGAAGTGCACCTTTGTTGCAAGAGCACACCCCAAATCTTGCAAATACTAAGATTTCACGAGACTTGCAAGAATGAACAGCAACTCGTTCAATACTTTTAAGGTTTGTCATCATCATCATCATCAGCTCACTATACGTCCCCACCGAGGGGCTCGGAGCCTACCCTAAGTTAAGGTTGATTAGGCCATACTCAACCACGCTGGCCAAGTGCGGGTTGGTTGACTTCACACATATCTTTGAATTACTTCTCATATATGTGCAGGTTGCATCACAATATTTTCCTTCACCGTGAGAACGACAGATAAATGTTCATGTGTAAATCGGAAATCGAAAAATACATTGGAAAACATTAACAAAAATAACATTCTTCACGTGCTCAGAACATTAAAAAAGCTTTTTAAATCTGATGCTTTTCATTTGTAGTGAGAACCAGTGATACCCCAAATCTGAGATCTAAGTCTTTGCATACCCATCATCATGATCATCATGACTTTTTCCCTACGGAGCGTTGGCACAGTATGTACTACTTTTCAATACATCTTTCATTTGTATTATCCAAATTCACTCCCTACTTAAATATCCTCTTTCATTCAATCCATACATACATCCCTCGGATTGTATTCCATGACATATACATAATTTAACTAAAGACTCGAATTATTATAAGGAACGATACTGATAGCAAGATTATGAAATCTTATTTGTTTGAAGGATCCCGATATAATTTGGCATACATATAGAACATAGTCTGGAAGAACACATAGGCTACTCGTGCGGACGCAGTCGTTGACTACACCTAGCATTATATAGCTTTGAAATGTGGTTTTAAACGTTTTACTTAATATGTAACTAAACCAGTTTTATTGGTGAGTTTAACGTTTACAGCCAAGGTTGGAAATAATAGAACAGGCAACACTTTCTTGCTGGATTATTTATTGTTTTATAACATCTAATTTTAATGAGAGCTATTAATTAACGAGCGATGATTCACAAATAGTTTTTTGTTATATTTTTGGGCAAATATTTTGTCACTTCTCCTATTTTCCTTATTGTGGAATCGGTCCAGTTTTCTGCGGGACCAAATGCTTTGTAATGAACAGCTAATGATGCAAACGCTTTCATTACATCAGGCTTGCATTTAAGTTGACCTATCTCGTATGATGCTTCTTTGTACGCCGAAGGATGTATTTTCTGTATTTCACTTGCATTGAATCCGCATAGTATATTTCTAAGCGCTTTAAGATCATAAACTGTGTAATCTTCGGGTTCTTTAGAAGCAAAATCCTTTCGTACGCGATCCGCAATTGCTGACAATTGTTCATCACTAAGATGATAATCCAGACCGAAGTTCTGTATCATAATGATTTCGTTAAATGTTAAATTTTTATAATCAGCTTTTTTGATATCTGGTATCACCCAGCGAAGTACCGAAAGTGTCTCATTCGGTATATTTGATGCGCCATTAAACATTTTTATTATGAACCGCCAAATGTTGACGGCATCTGATTTTGTTAAATTCTTCTTGCTTAATTGTTTTATACAACTTGTTAGTATAAAAGTATCTATGGAGTGAGATTGTATGTAAGAAAAATTATGAACCGCCTTAAAAATGTCATCGCAGTTTATTTCATTGGATAATAATATTGTTCTTATAAATAGAATAATAACAAAACCGATTTTACATAAACGTTGTAAGACGTACATTGTCTTGTTATTTTTATGACGAATGAACTCGCGCTTAAACACAATGGGAATGAAAATATATAGAAGTAGCTAAGTTATGTAGGTACATTATTTATTTAAGAGCTATAACACTGCGTTAGGGTTGAAACAAAATATTAATTTTAAAACTTTACAATTTTATTTTCCATTGTATTTTTTTTTTTGGAATTATAATAAAAACGTTACCTTGGCCAGAGATAAGGATTTCTATATTTTTATCATTAAAATAACAAACAGCATTTAATTAGAAAAAATACAATAGTAAATTGCCAACATAAGAATATGTAATAAAAAATAGTTCTTTGTTTGTAATAAGGAAAATCCCAGAGCAAACCTGTTGCGAACGGAAATATTTGAAGGCTATCTACTATATACCACTAACAATATAAGTGAACATACACCCCTGTAGCACAAATGTAAGGCGGAACCGCGGTAATTTCGCAACTCTTTGTCAAAATGTAGTATTGAATGTGGTAGTGTAATATTAACGAAACTGCCTGTTCTAACGCATAGGTTTGACTATAAGTCTATCTCTTTCCTCGTGCTGTATGGTCAGCGCTCCGGAATCAGGCACAACTCCGCATTTCCGGCTCAACTATTTTACCCCATCGCGTTATTTCCGCACTTGTTTGTGATAAACGACAAAAATAAAAGCGAAACTATTTCTTCTTACAATAGACAAAAATTTCACGGAAAAATTTCTTCTGATTTCTAGTTTCGATAGTCATTTGATTTTACCGCAACGGAATTTATAAAGAGAGACGGCGGTTTTCCGGAGCGGATAAGTGCTAAGTAAGAGTTTTAACGCAGCAGAACTTTGATAAAAAATACTATTTTTTATGGAAAAAGTAGAAAAAGACATCATTTATGTCTAATACGTAATTATAGAACTTTGGAATAATTTTTCAAGATAATCAAATGATATTTATAATTTATACATATTTTTTAGTTTAATTCCAAAACTTTTTTTTTTGTAAATGTTTTATTAACATTAGTATAAATAGGATTCAGATAGATCTACATTTTCTATTTTTATAAACGAGTGAAGTTTTTTTTACTTAAGTCTAACTTTAAATAATTTATGAATGGCAGTTTAAACTTGTAGCATCCGTTATGAAGTTTTTCTAGTTTTATTTCTCATGAATATTATCTTTATTCATAATATGAAGTAATATTAAATATTACGTGTATGTTAAGAAATATGTATATTGTAATGAAAACTTTATGGCGGCTCGAAATGTCGCACGAAACGGATTGCCAACGTAACTCCCCACCAATGAACAGCTAGAAGCAACTACAAGCCGTCGTAATGTTTGAATCTCGTAATACATTACTGTATAATGAAGGTGTACCAGTTTGAAATAACTATTCGAGGTCATTATCAATACATAATAAGTATGTGGTAAAATAGTTTTATATACTAGTTGTGAATTATAAATAACTAGCTGTCGCAGGCGACTCCGTGAATGCCGGATTAAAAAAAAATAGTAGCCTATATTTTCTTCCATGTTCTACATCTATGCCAAAATTGAGCAAAATCCATTTAACAGTTCTGGAGATATCTTCTAACAAACGTCTATCCAAATTTCGTATTTATAATATAAGTAAGATAATAAGAATTGAGATATGTTGCATGTTAAACTATTATCGTTATCACCTATTAAAAAAGGTTGATAAAAAAGAATTATAAAAATTAATGGCGCAAACATGTGTAACTTAAAACAATGAGTCGTAAATCGTATCCTAATTACTAAGTAATTTATGAATAAAACAAAAATAAATATTGTAAATTGTAAAATATTTTTATGAAAACAATTAACGTTGATGGAATTAAAATTCGTCCGAAATTCAATTGAGCATTCAAAAATCTAAATCAGGTTATTTTGCTTAGCAAAAATCAAGTTTTATACATAAAATTATTTCGCACATTGAAAAATTAACGCCATTAAAAGAACGTGCCAAAAAAACATGTCATACCGTCACTTTGTAAATACACTTCCAAATATTTGTATTTTCACGCTTAAATACGTCGTGGAAATAAGTTATAAAATATCTAACAATTATCCTTACTTTATATGATGTAAGTTATACAAATTATTCTACCACTAGCTTACTAGCTTAGCTAGCTAACTAACTAACTTGCCTGTGACTTCATCCGCTCGAAAATAAAAAAAAAATAAAAACTTAGTAAGAACCCTATATGTTCTTCCATACTCTTCATCTGTGTCAAAACATCGAATTCTTTAGCCGTTCAGTAGATACCATCATCTAACTAAACATTCGCATTTATAATATATTAGTAAGATAAAATAATTATTAAAGTAAATAAAATATTTTTACGAACAATACCATCCTTAATTTTCTAAGCTGACATTACTGTATATTTCATTAATGCTACTCAACTTTGACGAGGCACTGTATCACGTGATATGCTAAATGAATATTTAATAAGCATTATTTTCGATGTACAGTCAGGCCTTTATATTTGTAACAAATTAAAAAAAATCTTAATATCAATCTATCCTTTACTTTTATCCTTTTTTTTATTTCCTTTTTATACTTTTATTTCTCGAACTTAACACGATGTGGTCGCATGACCGTTTTCTTTTTATATCCGAAAGTACTTTCATGAAATTTATATTTAACGTTGATTTACATGTACATCTTCTTTGACATATTCGATATAAGGACATAGTATTGAAGAACGCATAAGCTACTAATTAAGGTTTTTTAATTCCGCGCGGACAGAAACGCAGGCAACAGCTACTATATTTCATTACTTAATTCTGTCGAATAATAGTCATATTAAAAATGTTTAACTTTCAAAATTGCATAATAAAGATCTCACCATAATAAGCAATACAATCTTCAGGTAACTAATAAAAATCATACATCGACATCACAGGAGACCGAAGAGCTGGTAGCAAAGAATTACTCTAGCAATTCAAAGGAAGAACGCTGCCAGTATCTTCGGAACTTTACCTAAATGGAACTTCTTTTAATAATTTATTTTCGTTCTTTAGGCATTTTACTTTTAATGGTCGTTTTAAGGTTCCGTACCTCATAGGAAAAAAACGGAACCTTTATAGGATCAGTTTGTTGTCCGTCCATCTGCCTGGCAAGATCTTTTTTTTAGATGTAACTATCAACATTTTATATAGAGATTTTTAATTATATTGTTCTGTACGTACATATAAAATATGCGCTTGTGTTTCATAAATAAAATCACTTATGGGATCGTAACATAAGAAAGCAGGTCATTTTCTGTAAGAGAATGCCATACTTGTCATAGCATTGAATAGAAACAATTTATAAACGGGTGTACATTGACATGTAACATTACTCATAGGGTAATGGATTTAATATTGAAATATGACGGATTTCGTCAATATTACGAATATGAAGAGGCCGGAAAAGTTCCCTACTTTGGTTTAGTATTATTGTAATAAATGGTTTTTTTCTTCGCCACATAAACTTCACCGTTTCAATATAAATGTGTATTTATCAATCCAAAGTTTACAAAGATTTCGCTTCACGTATAAATCTAAAGATTTTTGTTTTTCACCATTAATTATTGTTAGAATACCAAAGAGTTTTTACTAATGTCAAGTTTATTAACAACTGCTGATTTTGTAAATACAACTTTGAAAAGAAGTTAGACAAAAAGTATCAACAAAAAAACTGTACTATCCCATAACAATATGGCATATTGTTTGTTATGTCGCAAAACTTCTATTTAGTTATAAATATATTACTCGGGTTCCGGAAGACTAAACAATCGTTGGGAGGTCATTATCTACACAAAGGCATAATTTGATGTTATGCATCATAGCAATAACAAGGTATTCATTGCGACATCGGGAAAATAAAAAGTAGGACGACAATGATTGCTTGTTAGCACACGTGAATCTACGGCTATACGTGGGTTTCTAAAACCAAAGTTACCGTTTCAAACATTATCTCTCTATCTCTTTCAAAGATAATGACAAGGATGACGATATGTTTTAAATAGAGATTTTGGTCGGTAGATCATAACTAGAACATAGTACCAACTGACAACGACATGACAGGTTATACAATTAATCTTACTAATGTTATAAATAATGGATGGAGATTTATGGATGTTTGTTATGTGGTGTAACTCCAGACCAGTTGACCGGATCTGGATGATTTTTGGTACTGAAAGCAGGCTAGAATAGCGTTATGGCTAGGCTAATAAATTTCTTTTAAATTCTACTCGAGCGACGTCGCGGACGAATGCTAATACATTCATAGGTAAAGATTTTTGCTTTGTACGTCAATAACGTAAAAACTATTCAGTGTCAATATGAGTCTAATCTTTTTTTGAAAAACAACTAAAATCAAGGAAAAAAGAAGCATAACCATTTTCATTTCCTATTTCTATTGTCCGATGATAGTCAATCATAGCATATTTAAGTAAAATAAAGTTACTCTTCTAATTAACTTAATATTCTTATTAAATAATAAATTATTTTATAATATTATATTACATGAGCTTATGTAAGTGGAAACTTCGTTCAAAGCTAATATTTAGGTACTTAAGTTTGTCAATGTTAGATGTGTGTCAACCGCTCTGACATATCATGAGGGGCATCGCACTGACCCTAGTCGTGTTCATATATTTCATACAAGGACCCAGTTTTTTATGACGTAACGGAAATATGGAGTTTGTTTTGTTTTAAATTTTGCAACGTGTAAACGGTCCGGAATTACGACAGGGCCATGTGAGTTTTATCGTGCGTAGAGGTTATGTCACTTTAGTTAGATGCCGTTTTTTAAATGGGGAGAAATTAATTGTCCTTTTCTCACAATAGATGTCAGCTTGATCAAGAATTACAGTATCAGTAAATATTCATAGCCAAGTACTGCGTGGACTATAGCCACAGTAACGACTTCCGTCAAAATTTTACTCATAAAATTCAAAAATAAGTATTTAAAAAAAATACTCTCTCTAACCTCTAAAATTATTTATAATAAAAAAAAACTCTTTTTTCCGGCTCCGGAGCTCTTACTTAAATTCCGGAACTGTCAATAAGGAAAACATTTTTAAAATTTATAAAAAAAAAACTAGCTGTCGCCCGCAACTCTGTCCGCGTAATTATAAAAAAAACTTAGTAAGTACCGTACGTGTTTTTCCGGCCTATGCTCTACCTAAATGCACGTTTAATCGACATCTGGTTATGGAGATATCTTTTAACATCTATCCATCTAAACATTCGTGTTCTCGACAGCGAGTTTGAGTGAATTGTAGATAAGGTTAATGTCCAATGTCACTAATCTTACTAATATTATGAATACGAATGTTTAAATGGATATATGAGTTTTTGTTACCACGTAACTCCTTAGCGATTGAATGGATCTAATAGATAAATGGATGGAATTTAATTTGGAACTCAGATATGTTAGTCTAGAACATACTCGCTAGAACACTTCTAGAACACTCTGGCACATAAGCAACTATTCATTTTTATTCTATACGTATGAGGTTGCTGACTATAGCCGGTAGTCTAATAAACCAATGTAGATTCGAGTAATTTACAAAACAAAAATACTCTGTGAATACAAATATACTTTGATGGTAACTAACTAATATAATATCAGAAAAATTTAACTGAAAGAATTATAAATCCATTTAAGAAAATTGCCAGAATTTCGAGACTTACTTTTGATTTCTGAGACCAATAAAATCCGTTTAAATCATATTGTTATCTCTGTTTTTCAAAGTTAATGATAACGATATGTTTTATATAGAGATTTCGAGCTCATAAACCCACGGTAATAGTGAGAACGAGAGCTCTCTGAGCAAAGGTCAAGGAGACCTTGTAGGAACAGTCCAAAGCAACAAAGCAAAAAGAAAAATAAAATACATCCTTAGACTAATCATAATTATTTTATATTTTGCCTCAATAAATAATTATAATAAATAGAAGTTGTTTAAATATAAAAATTTACTTAATTTTGGTTAACAAAATTGTCACAATATATTTATTTCTGTATTATATTTTTATTTAAGTTCTAATATATATTTGTATAGAAATGATGAATTTAACAGATTAGTTAAATAAAGGGAAAAAAATTGTTTATATCAATTTAAAGTCATACGCAAGCTTATTTAGTAAATCGTAATTGATATTTACAAAAAAATTAATTTATATTTAGTGAATATTAAAAACTTACCTTGTGTTTTTCGAATAAATTTTCTTTTTTTTTTGTATTTTGATTTATTTGCCGCGTACGCTTGTTCGTTATGGCGCACGGACTTATAATGAGCAAGTATGGAGCTGCGTACGCGTCGTTTTGTTCATTTGGTATAATGAGGCAACAATTTATATGTATCGCTATATTCACACGTTATTGATATAAATCGTATCAATAGTCTAATTTGCAATAACGAAAATATTAATAACCACTAATTTCTGTAATTAGGTAGATACTTTCGCATTCTTTTTCGCATATCTTTCTCGATTGTTCCTGAAACTAGAAGCACTAGAAACAATGAAATAGTAACAATCCAAGGATCCTTTTGAGTCCACAGCCGGTAAATTTCAACTGTCGAACAACTACAACTACTAGGCATTGTTCCTTTTTTAGAACAGAATAAAAGGATGATAATATACTTGTCTAACAGTTGGGACTAGCTGTTCCTGTTTGTGCCATTTTATTCGCGATTAAAGAGGGCTGTAGCAAGGATGCAAAGATGTTGAACAAAAATACTTCCTTTACACTGCTATTTCAAAGTATGTGTAATTAAAAAAAATACGGATGAATTGATAACTTTATTCTTTTTTAAGTCGGCTAAAAAATCGACCCTTCGATAACATCAAACCCTCAAAGATGGGTCATGATCCTTTTCCAAATCTTACTTATACCACCACTCCACCACATATGGCTACTAAAAAGGCGATTATATTAAGCCGAGTGTGGATATTGATATTTAAGGTTTTATTGTAAAATTCAACAGTCCAAATAATAGTAATATTGCAATTGTTATCTCTTTATTTCAAAGGGAATCAGTGGGAAATATTAAATAATTCGACAATGGAAACCCACAGCTCAGTTTCAAGTTTTCAACATTTTGATATTTTCGTTCTAAAGTAGTCCTGATCCATTGACATTTGTGACTTCTGGTTAAAGTAACAGCGCGACGTGACAAATGAATATAATGTATGCGTTAATGGGTACTAACAAAGTAAACATACAGAGCGTGTTCACATGTGTCTGGCCTATTATGGCATTGCTAAAGCCGAAATAAAAAAGAAATTTGTAACGTAACATATTTAAACATGTTTCATTACTTAGATGAAGTTTTAAAATAAATTAAACGAGTTAAAAAAAAGTATTTAAATAAAACTAATTTTATTTTATATACGTGAACGCATGTTTAATTTCTTGCCAGTGTTGAATTTGCCACGTTGTTGTTAATTGGTAGTTATAGGTAGTCAAACTCAGACGTTATTGATCCGCGTCTATGTGCGCGCGCAATTAAGCCGAGACAACAAAGGCTATATGCATGAAAATCTATATTACTTTATACATACTCATTGGATAGATGTGCGCAGCTAAATCTGTTTTATTGTATTTATCGCTAATGTGGGTGTCTTCTCGAAACACAAATATTAGCTCTCTCATGGTCTTTGAAAAAACAAAGATAAGATTGTCTTCCTAATGACGGTTTTATTTTTTAACTATAACAATGTATTAGAATAAATATTATTGTTAAAACATGCAAAAAGAGAGTCATAGCTTCTACAACAGTGGTGTCGAGGTATATTGAACCTTGCTTGGATTTGTCTACCGTTTTACTTGTGTGCTTTGTATGCTTGAATTGTGCGCTTCAGGAGAGTTTGATCCCTAAGCGTGAGCCCATGCCGCCCCATGGTTGGGTAAGAATTTAAAGCTCTATACCCATCACTTTTTACCTGTGTAGAAACGGACCCTCGACAGTTTACAACTCCCGACTGTATATATACGGACCGATTAGAAAAAAATTGATAGCGTGTTTTAGGACTTCGGCATGACCATGAATTTGTTGTCTCTCTTTTATTCAAAGAGAATGAAAGAGTTGGCAATATGTATTAATACAAGTGGCTCGGCAGGAACGGTTTTTACGGTTAGCCATTCTCGAACGTTTCCATTTATATTCTATATTTGTGCCAGGGACTGTCTTCTGGTTGCGTCTTTATTTATTAAGGCCATATCCATGGCTGTGCCATTTCATAAATTGGTATTAGTTAATCAAAATAAGAATGTGGTTTAGTAGAAAAATTCCGTCAAAGGAAAGATAACTAGCAAATTTCATTTTTAAATAAAAAACAAGAAAGCTACTTATTAAGTAATCACACTTTTTATAGATAGCTTTTGATTAGTTGTATTATAGTTTTAAACTAATAGTTACGTAAATATAAAACCACAAATTATTTCTTTAATGAAACAAAGACAAGGCAAGGTGAATAAAACTTTAAAATTAAGCAGTCTTAACTCAAAACAACTAATTAAAAAAACAGTAAAAAATAATTAGAATAGGTTCCTATTTTAATTAAATATTTAATATGACATCAAGCTTTTATACATTGTTTGGATTGAACAAAAAAAAATAATAGTTTTGGTTCCCTGTATTCAATTACAAAAGCGATGAGAATCGTAATTGGACTTTGTATTTAGTTAATTAGTAAGGTGACCTTTCGATATAAGTTTTACATTGTAACATTTGCTATTACTAAATAATTAATTTTATTTGTACCAATATATTAATAATATCGAATTACTGATATTTTTTTTATATCTATGTACAAGAAATAATCTATTAATGTTCTTTTAACCACACAAACTAGGGACTTACGTACTGACTCAGTATTGTCTTGTCCGATGACGGAACTTGGCGGCAGAAATCGTTCCAAACAGTCCTTCGGAACACTTCCGTAGTAAAGCGACTTCCCTCCGCAAGGCCAGATAATCAAGACGTAAAGCTCTTCCGTAAGACATTAAGCCTCAGAAACCATGCCTCAAGCAGAAAAACCTTCTCTCAAAACCAATATTCTCACACGGGCAAAAAAGGGAACTATATAACAAAGATGCAATTATTTCGAGACGCCTTTATTGATTATATATTGAAATTACACATTAAACACCAATTTCACATTTAATTAATTACAACTCGTTTCAAACAAAAATATGCACAAATAATTTTACGACATATGTCTAAAATTAAAGCGGACCTAGAGTTAGGAAAAAGGATGATATTAAAATATTTTTTTTATTATTAATATCGTAGAGTTCAAAAACAATAGTATCGAAAATAATTTTTTAAATCTCATCTTTTATAGCATAATTAAGTTAGTGACGTGCACATTTTTATTTGTAACGGTAAATAGGTAAAACATCAATAATGTGGATTAAAAATAGTATATTATGTATATTCAAGATCAGAAAAACTATTACAGTGGGCTTTGACTGCGGTAAGGGCGCAATTCCACTAATCAATAACTCAAGTTCACGACTTAAGAAACTCGGTCGACGTAGAGCTAGGGTCGTGGGGATTCAGTTGACGAGTATTATCCGCGGCAAGGAAAAGCGAGAACTATCTCCCATCGCATGCAGGGCCCTAATGACTAATAAAACTACGCCCTAATACTTATATTGATACGGTACTGCTGTATTTTTTCACAAGCACAATGAAGGATGACAGTACACAAGTCACGTCAGTCTGCAGCCACTATTACGATGTTTACATTGATATGTTATAAAATAATACAGGAGATATTATAAGAAGGTATACAATGATTATTTCATATTTAATATCAATAAATTAAAAAAATGCAGTTTGAAAACAAAATAGGCAAAATAAGAGGTATTTTCCCGTGGTTTCGATTGAATCCATATTCATTTCTTAGGCCGATCGACCCAACGGTAAACCCCCAAAATAAGATTTTCAAATTTCAATTAATTGACGATGTTCTTCAAAAATATTGTTTTATATTTAGGAAATGTTAAATTTTCAAATAAACTGGACGTATTGAAGTCGGTAAAAATTACATCGAAATTTTGCTAATTTATAGTAACTGTTATCAGTTAAAGCTGAAATTTGTAAAATAACTGGCCAGTTTACGTGGACTAGAAATAATTCGAAATTTAAAAAGAAATAAAAAAATCAACTTTTGCACAAATAAAAACTCTTTGCTTAAAATCTTAATACTACAGTGATTACATCATAAAAGGGGTAAATATTATAAGTATAAATGAGATCACACATCGATTACGAAGCTCTCATTTAAATTCATATCGGCATCGCTTCGAATGCATTACTCAAAACCATGGGTAATAAAAGCGACCCAATTATTCAGACACAGTATACTTAAAAAGAAAAAAAAATTACAAATTTCCACTCTAAAAGAAAATTTCCAGTATTAAAACTGTATTGTTTTTGTATAAGTTTTTCGTCGGTGGAAACTCACAAAATCCCTTGTTTATTGAAGTTATACTTCTTTTGACACATTCTAATATTTGATGATTAATTATAAAAGCTACATTGAGCAGTTGATGTTTTATAATCGAAGTTGCCAGATTAAAAAATTAAATCTTCAAAATAATTTGTTCAAGAGTTGTACAAGTTTATTTTTACTGTTGTTTTTTTAAAATACATAAACAAAAAAGAAATGTAACCTGACACTTGTTAACACAAGTTAACATTTTTTATCCAACATCACATTTTTAAATTGATTTTTTAAATCAATCTCGTACAGTCTTAAAAGAGAGTCCTTTATTATATTTTCAATACAATAATAAAAAGCGCATTTGCAAGATAAATAGGACAAGAAAGTGTTTACTAACAGCATTTCAAATAGATCTTAAAATATATTAAGCAGGAACAATTTTATTATCTTTTATTAGCCTTTTAATAAATAACCTGACTAGTATTGTACTTACTCAAAATAGGTAATATTTAAAATATATTAGAATAAATTAAATGTATTAAATAATAAGCCAATTAAAATAATTATAAAAATTATGTGAGCAAAAAAAACTGCCAACTTAAAATTTTAAAATTTAAAAAAAAATCGTTATACTCAGCTTAGTTTGGATAAGTATTGAATTTTGAAGTGTGAAACATTTACTGGTTTGTATTCCACTAAATCTACTTACACATATACTACTAAGTTGACATTTAGTTACACTTATTAAAGTGACAATGACTAGAAAAAAGATACATGACACAACATCGACTTATATTAAAAACCAAATATTCGTTAAAAAAATCAACAAAATTTATCAAATAAAATTTTACTTAAAAATAAATCAGTACTGTATGAAAATAAATAATTATGTTATCAAAATGTATTTTTAAAAAAATAATTATCACAACCTAAAAACATGAGCAAATAATCACAGTTCTTAAATTAATAAAAAAAAAATTGTACTTATATTTGGAATGTTCCTAAACAAATTAACAAAATGATTAATCAAATAGAAACATATTTTATATAATTTTTGGAGATTCATCACAAATAAAAATTATAAAATAAAACTAAATAGGAGTATTTTAAAAATCATTCAGCTTAAAGCAATTTTTGAGATCAATAAAAAATGTTAAGTAACTTGTCTTTAAATAAAAAAAATAATTTTGAGAGACAAAATTATAAACAAATCAATGGTAATTATCAAAAAAAATTCTACATCAAATTATATAAATAACCCAAAGATGCCAATGTTACGAAGGGACATAACATTCAAGCGTTTACTGGTTACGATCCTTCTCAGTCTTCTGGCGTCTTATTTCTTCAATCTCGTCCAAAGTGAACCAGGGTCCGAGTATGGTTACCCAGAAAACCCAGAAACATTTCACTGGTATCAAAAGAAGGGTCAGCCAAAACTTGTCTGAGAAAAGGGCCATCAAGTGAGTGACTGAGGTAATGATCACGATATCCTTCAAATGCCTAAAAATAAAACAATTGAATAATTTTCTACACTAGCATTTTAAAAAGAAAGATGTGTTTGTTTGTAATTGGTAGACTAGAAATTATATTATTTAGTTTAAATGTACAATTCAACAATATGTATTTATGTTTGATCCTTTGTATGGTTATTAAAATTATGCCTGGTTTATACTATGCCAGTACAGTAGGACAGTAATGTTCAAATTTAGCTTTTGCATATAACTGGCATAATGTAAAGATATCTGGTGTCAGTGAGTACAGTCATTAAACTTACTCTCCAATGCCACCGCTCTGGTTGAGGTCGTGTCCGGGGTCAATCAGTTGGTAAGTCATCAGGGAATACTCCGGGCGGCTGATGTATCTCATCAAATGGTAGCAAGTGATGTAGATGAAAGTTGTCAGTATGTTCATGGACTGTTGAACAAAAATAAAACCTATAAGCTATGCTATTCTTAAGTTAAATCTATGAAAAAGATCTCCAAATAGTGTACTATTTACTAAGTCTAATGTGAGAAAAACTTACCATGACTAAGGGGCTCATTTGATCATAGAAAAAAAAGAAAAAGAAGGTATTGTAGAAGGCGCCACACGTCAGCGACATGTTCCGATAGAACAGAACCGTTGCCGCATTTTGAGCGACGATTTGTTGGAAACCTCTTACAATTTTACGTTTCTGTTGCTGCAACAAGGTTTTTTTTTATATTATGGGTGTAATCTTAAATTTGACTTATTTCAATAGTGATAGGGTAATATAACAGTTTGGGAAGCACTGCATTAGCATCATCATCATCAGCACTATATATGCCCATTGAGGGGCTTGAAGCCTATCCTAAGTTAGAGGTGACTATAGCCACAGGCCAAAGTTAAGCACGCTGGCCGCTGCGGGTTGGTTGACTTCATGTATATCTTAAAATTTCTTCGCAGTCATGTGCAGGTTGAATCACAATGTTTTCTTTCACCGTAAGAATGTTGGATAAATGTACATATGTAAATCGAAAAACACATTGGTACATGGGGGGATTCGAACCCAGGACCTGCAGATTTCAAGACAAGTCCTTAAAACCCTGAACTATCGACGCTCTCAATTAGCATAACTCCTACTAACATTATAGATGCAAAAATGTTTGAATGTCTTTTTTTATATGATAAGGTGGCAAACGAGCGAGCGGCCACCCGAAATCGCTGAAATAGCGAAGTGACCGCTGCCCATAGACATACGCAATCACATATGCGTTGCCTACCTTTAATCGATGGAGGAGAGGATGCACAGAAAGAAAATATCTTCCTTTTCCTTGCATCCTCTCATCCAGAAAGTCCAGTTCCACTTCCCATCTTTTCCTTATAAAGAAAAGGATGGGAAGGGAAAGAGGACTAAATTAGACCTCCGGGGTGCACACTCATCAGAGGAAACGCGGAATTGCTTCCACTTCATGCCTGTCTTCTGTGTGGTCGTGGTATTTCACCGGGCGAGCCGTGCCAATTCTCATGAAGATGTTAAAGCGGGCTCTACCACTGTTAAAAACTAACTTCAGAATGGCTGCATTGATTTTGCAGAAATTTAGAAAAGACAGACTAAAGGAGCAAAAAGTCTTTTAAATAAGTTTTTTTTAATTTCGCAGGAACGGAGTCGCGGGCGACAGCTAGTTATTTACATTTAACTCACATTGACATATATTATGTTAGAATTACTCAGGAAAATCTGGCCTTGCATGCCTGTATTGTGAAATGGTCTATTTTCAGAAATATTTTCAAACCCATATTATAACTTTGGGACATTTAAGAAATAAGCTTACTTTTTCTTAAAGGTAGGAACACCCTTCAAATAAGGTGCTGTCCTATTTATCTCCTTTTTCAGATACAAAAAACTGGATTTAAAACAGATGGAGGCAAAAAGTAAGAAGTTGGCTTGATTTTGAGTAGCCATTGTTACACATAAGCCTATGGAAGGTTCACATGTCTTTTCAACCTTTAATGGCTGGATATAGGGAACAAAGGGAAGAAAGAATGTTACCTAAGCCATCTGATTTATTGAAAAGTATTTTTTGTTTTACTAAGTTCTTGTTTTATAAGCTCCATGAGCTAAATACTAAAAATTATTTGCAACAATGTCCTACAGACAATATCGATTTTCCAGAAAATTTTTGCAGGGCGTGGCTGTAGTAATGGCTGGTAGTTTGAGATACCTATATATTAAAATTCGTGAAATCTAGAAATCTTGTTTCTAATTTTCTTACAAAACAATATAAGATTATATACATAAATGAAATTAAAGGTAATCTGTAAAGAGATGATTATTTTTTATGTAGGAGGACAAAGGGACTACAGTGGCTCTCAAAGATAAAATTATTTTTTCACAGTCCCATGTCCAAAATTATCTGATATGTTATTTTAGCTAATTTAAAAGAATACTTACTGCAGGCATTGTTGAATCAGGCACCAACTTGATATCAAACAATTATTAAATCGAAACTAGAAGTTAATAAGCACCGGTGCCTATCAATACCAAAGCCAGAAGAATACTTTGCCAGTAGCAAATTTACTCAGTATTGATTTGACTTTGACATTATTAAAATGTAGATTGTATATCGATTTTACAATTCGTTTCATACGATAATGTGAAATGTGCATAAACTAGCACCAAACTGCATCATAGCCTTTAATGTGTGGAAAAAGAGATTGTCATTTTTTAGGATTTTATAGTAACTTAATAGTTTTAAATTTTTCGACTAAGCCTGAAGCTGCAGGATATTTTGGAAGAATTGAAGGAATGGAACGAATATTGGACGATTATGTCACTATTCACTCGATGTCAAATCGAAACCAAAAACCAAGCGTATCCATCACTATTATTAAAATACGATACGATACGAACGTGAGAGAGCGTTTTCATACCGCTTTATTGATTTTGAATGTATTGAGTTAGAAACAAAAACTGTGTAAATCTGATGAACTATATCACTCTTTCTACGAGTTAACAATATCTTTTGTACTATTTTACATTAATATGAAACTTGTAAAACGATTTGGTACGTTGCGACCGTGACCCTCAAATTAGGTTGACTACGTTTTGTAAGAATTCCTCAGGTGGGTTAAGCTTTAATTGTTTGATTCGAATTTCTTTCTTCTTCACTTGAGGTTGTTTTCCTTATGACCGTTGTAAAGTTTTCTGTAAAAATAAAGGCGGTATCTTCTGTCAGTAATATCTGTAATGTACTACGCGGATTTTACCTCACGTGCCATATTTTTTTTATTACTGCGTTTTCTGTGAAGAAAACAAGCAATGTTTTATATATTTCCATAAAAATGTCTCAAAGCAACCGTACAAATTCGTGTACGTACATAGGAGAATAATTCAATTACTCATAAAACTTTTTTACAGAATTTGAATGAAATAATTTTAAATATAAACAAAATACGCTGGCGCTTTTAATATTTATTAAATGAACCTATTATATTAGGTGGTAAAATATTTTCCTGATTATATTTATCAAATAGCTGTAGCGTGATTGGTGATTATGTTCTAAATCTAAAATGCTTATTCTCAGCAGTGATGCATGAGTGATTAAATTATTATTTTTTAATTGTTAAACCATTTACTGGAAAAGTAATATAAAAGCCATTAAATTGAATGTAAATTTAATTATAGCGCAATATGAATGTCATAGTTTGTGATAGTTCTGTGTTATAGTCTGTTGTACTCGTGTTATTATCTCCTTGCCTTGCCTTGCTGTATTTTTAAAACTGCTTATGCGAAGTGTTTAGCTTAAGCATTTTTCCAGCCCTTTACCCATACTACCTTTTTTCAAGTTTTGCTTTGCAATGTTGTATTATATAAACAAATACAGTTTTTTTTATTATTTATGTTATTTTTTAGATTCACAGAAAGTACTAAATGATACGGGAATTTAATGATTCTTCAGATGAAGATGAAATGGATAATCACTACCAGCCAGATCCAGAATGTCTAGTGCTCACCCGACCGGATCGTGATATGCACAACCGTTGCTGTGGTGGCAAAGCTTGGTGCATAAAGGTAAGTGGTGTCAGTTTTACTGAATTTATGTACAAGCTAAACATTGCATTCCTTATTTTAAACTATAAAAAGCTGCGCATTTCTATAACAAACATCAAGTAATAATATGCTAGTCCTTCTATTTCAAAATATTGATTACATATCACATAAGTCATTGCCAATGACAATATGAAGTTGTGCAATGGCCATCATGTGATCAATTTGATTTTCTTTTGTTTGTATTAATGTTTATGTTGGCATGAGATGTAAAGGTATTGTTAAAGCATACTCTGTTATATTTGGCTCCAATACAATATTAATATTGCCAACGATAGCAACTGTAGGCATAATGTTTATGCATATTTGATGGAAGACTCGAGGCCAAGGAGGAAGAAAGATAGGCCAAGAGACTGCAACATATTTCTTTTGTTCTAACCAGAGTTTCTTGGTTATGGTATGCTTGGTTGGGAGCTGACAAAGACTTATAGAGATTTCTCGCTTATCCGAATCGCGGTGGCCATATTCAATCTAAGATATTTGTTTTATGCGAAAACAGAGTAGTGTTCAAGATTATATTATTCTATTATTCCCGTATGTCCAAGGAAGTCTTTAGCATAATGCAAATGCTCGGTAAAATTTTGTAAAGTTAAAATTTACGTGATCTGCTTACTCATTTGATACTCTTTCTATTAAAAAATCGCTATAAAACGATTAAACAATAAGTAATGACATTGCCAGTATCTTTTGTTTTAGTTTTTTAATGTTTGTTTTCTTCGTTTTGTCCTTGTACCGAGCACCTGACCTTCACATTTATTATTTATATATTAAAACTTGAACAACATTGATTTATTCATGAATCATTGATAAGTGCCAATAATAATATGTGGTCTTAATTTTTTTTTCTTTGATTTTCTGTTCCAACTTGATACTTTTAATTTGATATCTTTCTTATCTTGCTTCTTACTTTAATATTATAAATGCGAATGTTTGGATGGATGGATGTTTAAAGGTATCTCGTGAAAGGATGCCTGGATCTTACTGAAATTTGCCTTAAATATAGAACAAAGTCAGGAAGAATACATAGGAAACAGCATACCAGACCACAGCAGATACTTATTAAAAAAACTATAAGGCTGTGTTTATCTGTAAATAAATGTGGATAATAGAAATATGTGTATACAAATTTAGTATTTTGTCTTTACGTTTCAGGATATCTGTGGAATAATATGCGCAGTTTTGACATGGCTGTTGATATTGTATGCCGAGTTTGTGGTGATGATGGTAATGCTACTGCCGGGCGTGTCGACATATCCCTTCTACAGCTATGCAAATATTATATTGTTCCAGACTTTAGCATTCTTGGCTTTTGCATCTCATCTTAGGACAATGTTCACTGATCCGGTATGTATGAAAGATTATTTTAGACTTGTTAATGTATTTAAACCTTTTAATTAATTTTATACTCTTACTACAATCTTTAGCAAAGGTTAATGAGTGTGAGAACCAAAGGGTTCTCTCTCTCTCTCATCTCTCTATGAAACATATTGTCATCCATGTCATTATCATTGATACAACAGAGATAACAATATGTTCTAAATAGGGATTTTGGTCTCGGAAAACCATCGTGAATTGTAGATTTATTTGTAAAAAAGATGTTAAGATCTTAATAAGCAACAAGTTAGGGTTTACTATGATATGGACTGGACTAAACTATAGATAATTTACTTTGAAGCTTTATTTACAACTAGTTTTTTTTTTACACAGGGTGCAGTACCAAAGGGCAATGCAACTAAGGAAATGATAAAGCAAATGAGTTTCCGTGAAGGGCAAGTGATATTCAAATGCACAAAGTGTTGCAGCATAAAACCAGAAAGAGCTCATCATTGCTCAGTTTGTCAGAGATGTATTAGGAAGATGGATCATCATTGCCCGTGGGTGAACAACTGTGTAGGTGAAAATAATCAAAAGTATTTCGTATTGTTCACGGTAAGTCCTTTACTGTACCAATGCAATGAGGTTATCATTTTTTACCTTAACTTATGGACGTAGTTTTAGACATTTTTAGTTAGAATCCTTTGGCGCGAATGGTGCTCTTTCGTTACCAATTGAAGTGTTAGAATGATTAGTGAGGGGACATAAACGTTGACATTTTAATAAGGCTAGTGTTGCGTCTATACCCCGGCAGTGTCAGGTTTTTTTGCAATATTTTGATAAGATTTTTATGGAAAAAGTTCAAATTAATGTTTACTTTTTTCTTTCTTATGTATTGTACAAAAAAATATTAATTTATAACTTTTGTTTCAGTTCTACATAGCTGCGATATCAATTCACTCGCTTACTCTCTCTGTGTATCAATTCGTGACATGTATTAGACACGAGTGGCGTGATTGCAGTACATATTCCCCACCGGCTACGGTCGTACTTTTACTGTTTCTGATCGCTGAAGCTCTACTATTCGCAATATTTACCGTTGTCATGCTCGGAACTCAATTACACGCTATATGGAATGATGAGACGGTAAGTAATATTTGATTTTTTACCCAATGACAAAATATAGGTAACACATTCAATGCTACTATGATTACGTAACGCAAACTTATTTGTCCGTTGAAAGAGGTGTTATCAAGAATAGTTGAGTTAGAATATGTTAATCCTATTACGGCGTAGAAATTACGCAATACAGGCAGCCTGAACGGTATTCTGTAGAACTTTTTGAAATTAACAGGGCTGTGCTAATGACTTATTGTATAATCAAACAAGGATATCTGGCTGTATGAGAGAAAGATTACCATGGGCTTAGTTTTATGAGAAAAATATATAAAACCTATTTATGCATAAAAAATGCAATAAAAAAATACCAGCCAGCTACAGTAAAACAAGAATTTTGTGACACTTTGACATTGCCAGAGTAGCGCTAGTGAGGTGTCATAATTTAATTTGACTTACCCACCGGGTCAGATTTGGTGTATTCAGATAAGTTTGTTGGTAATAAACTTATAGTGGCACTGGATGTGTTATTCACTAACCATGGATTTCTGAGACTAAAATGTCCGTTTAAAACATATTATCATCTCTGTTTCGTCAAAGAGGATCAGGGATGACAATATGTTTTGATCAGAAATTAGTAAAATATGTTTTTTATTCAAAATAATTAAATTGGATTGGTATTGGGTTTACATATGTTCAAAGGATTAAAAAAAAATCTATTTATAACATTTTATATACAGAACATATGGAAATATATTTTATATTAATAATGGAATATAGTACTAGATTGTAACATTATTTCTGGTGGAAGTATATAATGGCTACCATATATGACAATTAGTATTAATATTATAGTGAAAAATAGATTCTAATGAATGAAATGAAATAAAAAAAGGCTTATAAGATTTAATCTTTACTAAAGATTATGAAATAAGTCTTTTTTAAATATTTTTTAAGTATTCTAATACATTTAGTGAGTACACTAGAGTAGATATTACTCAGTCACATTTATTAATGATCGTGTTTTCTCAATTTACTTAGTTTTAGCATCATTTAGAAGATAATTGTACATATTACAGTATATAAAAGAAATGTATAACTTAACCCTATTAGGGGTTTTATATATCAATGCATAGTCATCTTTAGTAATTAAATATTGGTTAATAGTTTCAGTCAAAGCTTATTTAAAACTAAGCTTAATAATATTATAAATGCAAATGTTTAGATGGATGGATGTTTGTTTGAAGGTATATCCAAAACGGCTGAATGGATCTAAATTAAATTTTACCCATAGAAAATAGTATGTAAGATCACATAGGCTACTAGTTATGTTTTCAATTTAGGACGGAGTCGCAGGCGACACCTAGCTTGATATAATTACAAAAGAGATATTAGTGATATTAGCTGACACATTATTGTATTGAGCAATCACTATTCAACGCGAGCAAACACAAGCTTTTTTAAATCACTGCTGCAATTAAGGCTTCAGAAAATGGGTTTAAATCGATTTGATTTATATAAATTATTGAAATTGTCCCATATATAATTTGTTCTGCAATTTCTTTACAATGTTTTGGCTTCAGTATGTGCCTGTAAATAAAATACGTGATCCTGAAAGCCGGTCTGAATGATCTATGATGAGGCTTGGCTTGGAGCGAAGGCAACAGGAGATCCACACAATATCTGGGGCCATCGACGCCGAGCCTGAACAGTTGCAGTCTAATCTAACAGCCATCGAGATACCTGAAGGGCACGATATAAACGTGCCTGAAAGGGTACATAATCGTTATCATTTTAAATTGTTTTTATTTTTTTTTCAAATAACTGTTTACCTTCCGATATACTTCATGTGAGGATGTTCATTTTTTTTTGTCATTAGCAATAATGGGTAGCTGTTTGAAAGGATTTGAATAAACAATATACAAAAATTTTGTTAATCGAATTTATTTTACAAAAAAAATTCAGTTTAGTTGATGCTATTTGAAAATCTTATAAGAAATATAATAATTCGGATCCTTTCTCATTTTCGTAATGCATGGCGTCGCAATTTTCTATTAGAGTTTTATTTTTATCAGTATTATTTCATCATTCATTGTGAATCGCTTTAAAATGGTTTTGTAGTTATGCCTTATTTTAGGATAAGCCAGTGTTGTGTAGTTGTAAAATACAGGTGTCCCCCTTAGAAGTTGAAGATTCCCTTTAACATTGTTGTAAAAGATTAAAATAAATAACTAAAATTTGATTGTTGTACATTTAAGAGAATTACTTTGCAATTAAAACCTAAAGACATAAAAATAATTTAATGCAAATTAAAAATAATATATTAACAGCATAGTAGTAGAAAGAAATTGGTGTTAATTGTTTTTGTTTGGTATTAAAGTATGGAGTTTATGAAATTATTTTATTTTCAGGGTATTGAGCAGTTGAAGAAAGAACAAGCAAGATGGGTTCGTAAATCTAGATGGATGAGCATTCAGGCTGTTTTTGGACGATTTTCAATTCTATGGTTTTCACCATTCACTCAACCTTCGGTCAAGACGAAACTAGAAAGTTACTTATACAGTGTGTAAAGCTTGATAAAACGCAAGTAAATTCACTTAATATATAACCGTGGGTTTCTGAGACCAAAATGTCTGTATAAAACATGTCATCTCTATGATAATTATTGACAAAACAGAGATTACAATGTTTTCCAGAGATTTTGGTCTTAGAAACCCACGGTTAATGTTTTAATTTTATGAAAGTAGTGATGCGTGGATCTCTCACTATTATTATCAAACTAAAGCAATATTTACTCCGTTTTTTAAATGTTAGAAGTCGTGTTTAACGTTATTATAATTAATATACCAAATGTATGCATTTATTCGCAATTTCTCTATTTGTGTTCCGATCGATACATAGAAATAATGTTGTTTAATAATTAGTATATATAAATATATATATATTTATATTTAACAAACATTTGAATTGGGTTTATGTTATTTTTCTAATTACAATAGTGCCTTATTATAAAAAAGAAATAGTACAATCAATATTTTTATTAAAATTTTCCATTATGTGAGAGTATGTTTCATCATCATCAGCTCACTATACGTCCCCACTGAGGGGCTTGGAGCCTACCCCAAGTTAAGGGTGACAAGGCCATAGTCAACAACGCTGGCCAAGTACGGTTTGACTTCACACATATCATATAAAATTAAATTAACAAATCACAATTTTATCAAATTATTCTAACGTTATAACAAATTGACTTTAAATAATAAAATTACTGTTCAATCGCGTTTTGAATAAAGAAAACATTTTTTTTTGTTTAATGATAAAAAAATGACAGAAAAAATCACATAATTGTATATAACTGTTTATTGATATAAAAATTTATACATAATAATGATTATTGGAACATAAATAGAGAAAATATAGTAGTTCACTTCAATATTTAGTTAAATGTTGCTAATATTTATTGTTATACGTTCATACATGCTTATACAAATTGCTTGTAGTGGGTTGTTCCCTATTTTAGTATTAGAAATAGAATAAGAAATGAAAACTGATGAACAATTCCATAATAAATTATTCCAACTATAGTATACACAAACGTATTGGGGCACAAATAATGTAAACGGCTTCAAGGATTATTACAATCGGATTCCGTTGTCATGGTTTTTTATATTGTTGTCTTTGTTTAATCAAAGAAAATGAAAGAGATAACAATATAATACAAAACAGTGGAATTCTACTGTTAGGAAAGCATTGGAAAGTTAGTTTATATGGTTATTTAGTACTGATGTTTAGTGTTGGGGCTTAGTGAATTGCCTTGATTACTACTAGAGACAAATTTACTTATGTTTTATGTTTTTGCTAATAGCTTTTGCTATAATTAATACGAAGTGCAATAGTTAAATAAAGGAAACATTTCGTTAGTACTAATATTTCTAATTGTTAAATATTTACTTATAAAAATTAAAAACTTTACAGTTTTATGTTTGCTATATTCAACAATTTGTTGGTGACATGTCATAAATGTCTCAGCTGAATAACAATAATCAGTTTAAATTACTTTGTATTTTGTAGGAATAAAGAAATTTGGATCGGTTCAATTTAAAAGTGAATTAATTAAAATGCTATGTTACATTAAGAGAAATAGGTTGAGATTATTTATAGGGTGTGACCGTAAATATTGGTTGTGGTAGATATGGATTATTATAATAATTTTAAACTTTAAAATTCAATGCTTAAACGAAGTACTTTCTGACTAAAATAAGTTTAAACAAACTTGTGCAATATTATGTATTATCTTTAAAGAAATTAATATGACAAGTTTCGTATTGTTGTTTTTTCAATGGAAACTCAGTTTTATGTACTTTTTTTGTCATAGAACAAATTCGATTTATTCCGATCAATTTATCATACGATGGAGTTTAGCAAATAATGCAACTATTATTATTTGATTTATTAGTGCGCTGTTTTTAATTATTTTTAAGTTATTCGTTTCGTATTTTAGTATGTATATATAATTGTGAGTGTGTGTGTACATAAATTGTATAAATTTATGTATAATTCGAAAAAAAAATCCATTTGTATATATATTTTATCGACGTAGACATTGAAAAAGTATTATCAATTTTCATTTAAATTTAATTTATTTATTTACTATTTTTTTAAATCAAAATCCGACTTTTTTCATTTTTCTTAGTTTAAAAAAATATTTATTATTTATTTGTTATATGTTTTTCTCATGTTTGATTTTAAAATGAAATAATTGTGTTGTAGAATCGTTGATCAATTGATTTACTTTTGTTGTTTAAAAAAAATGAACTGATTGAAATTTTCTAGGATGAAATTTTATAGTCTATACTATATATATAACTGCCTATTTTTTAATTTCTCATAAAACATAGTCATTCCTTTCTTTCTTCTTCAAATAGAAAGAGATAAAATATACATCAGAGAATCAGAAAATTGACAGATTTCATTCATAATTAATATATTTACTTGAATTTAATGTTATTTTTAGACAAAATTTAATCTTAACGACAAATTTTGATGGTAAATCTATAAGTAAACATGACAATTTTTTGAAAAAAGAATGCTTGAGCAATTGTAATATTGAAAATATGTTTTTTTATCAAAAACTTATTGAACATTTTCGACATTTCAAGGTCAAATGAAATTAATGACATTGGCTTATTTTATTGGGCTTATTTATGTCATATTAACGTGGATTTCCATAGCAGAATTAAATCATAACAAATACCTTTATGTTATTCGCAGCGATTCTCTGCGAATTAAATAAAATGGTTTTGTAAGCATGTTTCCGCAGTGGAAACCCAAGTACGAGTATATAATTGAAGTAAATATATTTATTTATTATATTTTTAATGAATTGGTGCATCAATAGGTAATTTGAGCAAAATGTTATAGTGCAAAGTTTTATATATACTATGCGTTCACTGTAACATGAGATCCAAATCCAAACTATCATCGTAAGAGTTATTCAGCGTAATGTCGTTATATCGAAATATACCGGTCTAATAACCGAAATGTGGTAATAAACGTCTTCGATATACACCTTTGATGGAAAACGTTTTATGACGTCATCGAAAGGATCTCTCATGTTATTATATTCATGTTGTATCAAATTTAAATAATGCTTTTTATGTATATTAATGTAATTTACTAAAAAAATATATATATTTTAAATGAAATTAATCAATAATAATAAGTTTAATATTATATGTAACTCGTGTAATATTATTGTGCAAATTTTTAAATGTTAGTAACTCTTGATATTATTTAATTTTCCTATATAGATATGTATAATATTATTATTTTTTAATTTACAATGTGACCATTGGTTTACGATCTCTATTAGTGATTCTACTCTTTTTTTTATTTATAAAGACACCAAGGCATTTTACATTTAAAGCCATTTAAAAGTTGTTTAGTAAATAAATAGTACAAAAAGAGTCTTAGACAACTAAGTGTAGTTTAGGCTACAGGCTAAGACTCGGTGAATACGTTGTTTTAATCTTTGCTAATGTCTTATATGAGGGTTCATTGATCATATACATATATATATATATAATAATTCAATATTATAAGAGAGTAGATAAAAATTATATTTGTAATTATATATCTGTAACTCGTGTTTGAGATTCATTAGATATAGCTTGTTTATTAGCGTACTAGCGTTATTTATATTAAGCATTAATAATATAATGAACCGTTTAGTATATAACAGACGCTTTATTTATAACAATATATAAGTAATTTTATAACATAAAAATCATTGCTATGCGCAGTTAAATACATAACCTAGTGCCTATATGTTATTCTAAAGCAGTTGCAATAGACATCAAGTTAGTCAAATGAAATATCTATTTAACGTTGGTTTATGAAACCATAATCTCTGTATGAAACATGTCGTGTTTTACATGGATTTTGGTTTCGTAAACCCACGGTTAGTAACACAGTGCCTAATAATTAATGTTTATAAATTATATTTTTATGAATAACTTAGTAACATTGTGCAACATATTAATCAATATATAAAATAGTTTTACTTATTTGTTTAAAATAGTCAAAATGGTGAATATATTAAAAAATAAAATAATTCGATTTCATTATATTTTTGATATGATAATCAGTAGTTGAATTTTGACGAAGTTGGATATTTAATGTAAAAAATAGTACAAATAAGTGTTCTCTGTAACCACTTGGTATACAATATGAATGTTAAATATGACGTTAAAAATACAATGCCCATAAAATACATTTATACACGAAATTATATATGTCTATGATATAAAAAATCGCATCAAAAATGCATTGTTAAAGTTATAAGAATTTGTTCAGATAAAAATCAATAGATCGTTATGGACTGTGGTATTCGTCGTGATATTTGGCTGTATTATAATTTAAAATAGTATAAAGGTACGCGTCCATTAGACCGCGCCGGACGCGCCGCACGCACGGTACGCAACGGATTTTAGTTTGCTTTGTATGATTTTACATAGCTGCGTCCAGCATCCGCGCCTCCCGCGTCGAAAGACAAAGTAAAATCGCTTAATCCGTGCATGCGGTGCGTCCGGCGCTGACCAATGGAAGCGTACCTTAATACAATTTAGTCGTCAGTGGAAATTCATTAATTTTGAACTATGCCTAGTTCATTACACTCGAAAAAGTTAAATATCCAACATCATTAAAATAAAATAGAAAAAATTATTCGTACAATAATGGCTTGGTATACAACTAGTGAATGAAATAAAACATCGTTATATAATAAATATTTTATCGGTACTATTTTAGAATAATATGGCCTTTATTTAATAGATGTAAAAATGTTTTTTTTTTTAAAGTAGATTGTTTAGATTTGCATCTATAAATTAAGATAAAAGGTTGTCATGAAATTAAAATTAAAATGAAACGATGTACCTTATACATTCTTATAATTGAGTATGTTAGTTAAATAACAATCTGATTAGTGGTTTGTGCTAAGTTCACACAGTGCCCCTTAATATTAATGTTGTCATTCGTTATAATACAAATAGTTATACGCTTGCGTAGAAATATAATAAATGTGTTCACATCGCTTATAAAATATAGTACGAATTTTTCTGTATTTCACGTCACTTACACGAACGATATATAGATAATATTTGTTAAAGTTTAGCATAATAGATGTTTGTATATATGCGTTAATTGTATTTGTTTTATAAGGTTGCGTTCATACCAATGTCAAGATGTACAAATTAGACCGTAGTTTTTCCACTTTATGCACTGAACTGTACTTGTTTGAAACTTTTACTTAATGAATCCTTCAAGCATAATTCACATGCTTTTATATTTGTGTGAAGGTGCCTTTAGTCACTGTGATGAGGTCAATATAAGGGTTAATATCATTTATTGGTGTGAACGCGACCTTAGCAAATGTATAGACAACATATAAGACATGCATCCGATGAACGTCTTCGAAACAACACTATGCAATGTTAATGTCACCGTAAAATTGCAAACTTCAAAAGTTTATAATGGAACTAGAGTTTATAAATTGTCACTTTTTGAATTGAACTTATCATTTTTTATTTATTTTTTATACTTTGGAACTTTCATCACATGGTTAAGCAACATAAAGAAAACAAACGAACATTTATTTTTTATCTTCATAATTCTTTGCTTAGTTATTATGTTTTGTTCAAGACTCGTCAGAATATAAATAATTCGTTCACAATTTTACGGTGACTCGTGCAATATAAGAACATAGTTTGTTCAAGTTTTAAATGCATATAATTTTAATAGATATTTGAAATAGAAATCTAATAATTGTTATCGTCATTAAATCAAGTTGTATTATTGGGCATTGTTGAAAATACACCATATGTCTTAAATAATGAATGGCTTAAACTATCAAGGTCCGGGATACTTCGAACCAAAACCTAATTAATCAGTTTTTGTCATTGCATCCTCATAAAAAAAACATTAAGTAGAAAGTTAGATTTTTAAGCTAAAGCTAATAATTTTGTATAGGTGTTACTTTAAAAAAAATCTTTTGTTTCTCTACAGACAAAAATAACTAACAATAAGAAAGAAAAACAAACCCATGTTTATAAATTTTAATTTAAAACGTAATATATGTGCTGTAAATTACTTTAAATTAATGTATCTCGAGGCTTTGCTTTCTAAGATTTTTTTTTATTTGATCGTACTGAAAAAAAAACAATGATATTATTTTAAGGAATAACTTTGTCATATAAATGCATATACACACATAATTCATACAATAATTGTAAACTGTAGAACCTTTTCTATAATATATGTAATAAATTTAAGTATTTTTGCGGGAATTTATTAAAGATGATCTATGGAAATTATATTGCTCTTTCATTTTTTTTCCCAAATTTAATTACCTAAAACTGAATTAGGAATAAGCCTTTTTAACTAAGATCTAAAGTCTGAACCCGAGTAAGTATGTGTTCATGCTCTGTTTAACTGAGAAAATAGTCAGGTATTTTCATAGAAAACGTCGTCAAAGATGGACTTTATTAAATAATAAAGGGCAGTATTAAAAGTCTGGTCTATGTACATTCTTCTCAGCTAAAGCCGTGAGTTGTGTTGTTTAAAGCAAGTATAAGCAACAAATTAGTTTATTAGTTATAACACTTTGTGTCATTTCCGTATACGACTCCTTTACAAACTATAGTGTCAACAAGAATGTCGTAAGTAAAACAATTGCATATTTTTTTGTAGTTTCATAACAATTGTATATTTATATAATTTCGTGCGTGAATAGTGAAATAGGTAAATGGAAAGTATTACACAAGACACGCTCGGTGTTGAGTCGGTTCCACCATGGTCTGGCTATCGTCAAGGCAAACCACTGCCGGGCGCTCGCAGCGCCGCCCGCTCCTACCCGCTACGTTGTCACATTCTTTTACGCAACCATCATTCAGCCACGCTACACCTCACTAAATTTGCATCTGTTACTGCCATTGTACGTTACCAAAACCACATTTTAATTCATTATTCACAAACAAATATCTAACGACGATTCTGTTTCAGATGCGCTGTTTAATCGTTGTACTTTTCATAGCGACGCTGACGCCATCTATGTGTCGGCCGTACGATCCTGAAGATGATGAATTGAAGAGCGTATTATCGACTAATGGTAATTTCGAAGCGTTTTATCCACGACAAGCACATGGCATCCCCAACGGGTCTTCACGGCCGGCTCATGGACATGGAAGTTTTTACAAACACCGCAATCCGGCGCTAGTGGACGTTAAAAATGCTGCAGCTTACGGATTCAGATTCGATGGAATGAGAAGATTTAATTTTGACGATGACGAGTAATTTAATGTAATAAATTTTTATGTTAATTATAATTGTTTACCACAAATAAAGCTTTCTTCAAATTAAATGCACCTTTTATTATGCCTTTAAGAAGTAATAGATTTTTTTGTTTCAAATTTATTCAACGATTTCTTCCCCGAATTTCTTATTCTTCCTATTAAACCAATATAAATACTCACGTCCAAAAACACATTATTTAAGTTAAGATATATCTTAGGATTACTTATTTTCAAACAAAAAACAATAGGCCTTGTACATTTTATTTGTTTGATTTAAAAACACGCCCACTCAATCAGAATATCCGAGTAGAGCTATCCGATACGTATATCCCGCAGCCATTTATTAATACCTCAGTATCGTATATTGATTGAGTGAACTTTTAATCGTTTTTCTATGTTAATTAAATAATAACTGGCTTGTAGGTTGAACCTTTCTCCGACTATTTGGCTTGTAATTACGCTTACAAATGCCTCTATAAGCGATGGGATACGGTGCCCGCTCTAATGGGTACATTCTTTCGGCTCATTCGGGCGGACCATCTCATCCATTACATTTGATAGTAGCAATCGGTGTTTAATGTTTCTCTCTCGGTTTCTTATCGGCGAGAACCGTTCATTGATAGACTGTTATACCGTTGGATTATACAAAGAAATGTACTGTCTACATGAAAACAAATATTAGTTTTATTCAAATTAATCATTAGATTAATTTAATTTATAAATTGTTTCTATTTATTATAATAAAGATTCTTACTATCTTCAGCTTATATAAATGTCTACTGTCAGATTTCCACTGTAGATATAAGTAATACAAACGAAAGACCGTGGAATACAATCCTGATAAATCGCTCTGAGCTTATTTTTAAAACATGTCATCAATACCACGTTAAGATGATTTACGAGTTTTACGATATTAGAAGCTTTATCAAAACATTTAACGTATATAATTCAACATAATAGCTGCCATACACGGACTACTTTAACTTTTATACTGACTGTTTCGCTTGGAAAGATTGCGCTTTTCCTTGTTTTTTTGTTATATATCAAAAGGTGGCAAACGAGCGAGCGGCCACTTGAAATAGCCAAGGGACCGCTGCCCATAGACACACGCAATTGCAGATGCGTTGCCTACCTTCAATTGACGGCGGAGAGGATGTACAGAAAGAAAACATCCTCCTTTCCATGCATCCTCTCATCCGGAAAGTCCACATCCACTTCCCATCCTTTCCTTATAAAGAAAAGGATAGGAAGGGAAAGAGGACTAAATTAGACCTCCGGGACGCACACTCATCAGACGAAACGCGGAATGGTTTCCACTTCACGCCTGTCTTCTGTGTGGTCGTGGTATTTCACCACAATTCGTGTGAACATGTTTAAATTGTTAGGCTATCAGCAAATTATCGTAGTGCATTCGATGATGACGACGCTGCGGGTCTTATCATTCGATTGAATACAGTTAATGCTTAAAGCTCGCTGTGTATGGCCGCCCAAGATTTCTATAGGAGTCATGCCACGTTTTAGCTGATTAAAAATATTTTATCGTAATAAAACAGACTAAATATTATTGGAATTTTTATCTTTTATTGTAACTTTTTTTATCATAATAAGGTATATTTTTATTCGCTATCATATCCTGTACTTGAGTTTTTCATTATATTGTCCGACCCTAATGGTTTCTCACGCTCAAAGTCGTCTTGCAACGATTAACTTAATTTCAGACAAATTTTTATAAGAAAGGCCGTACCTTCGACGATATCAATCACCGGTAATTAGGCCGTCATGGTTCCGTATCAGCTTTTCGAGTTTCCATTGTAAATGTTCACTTGCTTCTATTTAGGATTTTACGCACTGGGAAGCATGTCGAGTCATGGATCCTGTTCGGAAGTTCTAATAGATATGTATTGATTCGATCCGACTGTTTGATACATCCTTCGTTACTGTCTGCTCAGCAACAGCCGTACTCTGCTACAAAAACTGCCTAAACACTCAGGTAAGGATAAAAAGTGTGAAATTATCTTAAGTGGCCAGTGTCTACGAAACTCCCCTTTTAAAGTCAAACGTAACAGTACCTTCTAAGTAAAGATGGAGTGTAGATAAGTTAATAAGATTATTATAAGTTCATGCTGGGGTCGTAGACCGGCTTTTAGGGACGGAATGTTTCTTAAAGCGTGTATAAAAAACGAAGGCTCCCCCGGGAGCGGTCATTCCGCGGTCGGAGTGGGTGAGCGCGTCTTCTCTTACCTTTTTGTGTGGAAGCCTTATTAGTCCTCTCTCAGATTACCAGCGGCTATTGGGGAAACTACGTGATATCTAATCGTTTAAGTTTAAAGCAAGTGCGATGAAGTCGTGTAGAAATCGAACGGTGAGTTATAATTTCATACTTTGGCGACCATCATTTTTATTATATTTTAATTTGTGAACTTTATAATTAATTATCGTAATTTTAATTAAGATTAATCTAAACAATTAATAAGGATATGACAATTCGTTAAAAATTAATCATTAATCGCGTATTAAATAAAAATTAATATAAAATTAAATAATACAAATGCTAAATTATTTGAGCAGTTTTTTTATTTTTCCTGTGACGGAAATATATTCAAAGACCATTGTCAGTGTTTGCCTTTCGTTAATTGTCCATTGATTCTTTCAATTTCTATTGACGGCGAAGCATAAAGGGGCCGTCGGTAGTAAGTCAATCTCGCAAGTCATTACATCCATAGAACCTACAGCTACATATATGGCGCCTTTATTTTGACAGCTGCATTGTAAGGAATCAAATCGATTGATTATAGAAACATGTTTATCACTCGCAATTGAGTTATTTATTCAGTGTGGGAATTTTTATAACATATAGTTGACATTTTTAGTTATACACGTAATTGGAAATTACTTTTTGGTATTAACACATTCACTGCTTAAGATATAATATAGAATAATTAACCAGGAACCAAATTTTTTAAGGCGTATTTTGATTATGTATATATGTATGTTTAAATGTATGGATGAAAGTACATTGTTATTATTATTTTAATAAAAAAATACAACTACAAAATGCACGGGCTGTTCACCGCTATTATGCCCCCTCCCCGCTCGGATCCGAGTGGTGAGCACTAAACGTGCTTATTGAATTTTTTATGTAATTAATTTTCATATTTCTGATATAAATTTATATGACTTGTGATTGTTTTATTATCGGAAAATATTATTATATTATATATTAATATTTAAACGATTTGAAAATTATAAGTAACAAGTAACATAAGCAGTTTTTGGTATGAAATTAAATTGAATTAAAGATAATTTAGGTTATATTACTTTTGTTTTATTTAGTTTAAGAGGAATAATTATTTTAGTCAGCGGATGTAAGAAATCAACTGTAGACCCAAAACTCATGAGCTGTTAAATCAATTCGCCACGGACCGACACAAATTATTTTATAATGTGACTTTGTCTATCGAAACATTGACTCTTCGTGTAGAGGTCAAGCTTTGAAAAGTTGTTGGAAAATAAAAAGAATTACAACATAACATTTAATATAATAAAATTGAAAAGAACATTTTTTATATTTTTAAAATTAAATAAAGCTTCTAATTTTATACCGTAAATTGTTTTTTGTAGGTTTATATAAACAATATAAAACACCATAGTGTAGAAGAGAAAGGAAAATGTTATTATATATACTTATTTTTAAATTTTATTGTTGCGAATGCTTCTTTAACTTATTGCCTTGCGAATGTTTTCAGGTTTTTATTATACAAACATTTTAGCTAAAATAAAAATAAGTAACTCTATAAATTGTCAACAGCGATAACATGAACGTGAATTTACCAACTTTATCATCATTTTAAGTGTTTTTCTACAATTATCGAGAATTATCGTGGGATATTTTTAATATTTTATGTACTTTTTTACATTAATTAAGTTGCTTTTTCCAAGGTAGTCTTCGATGAATCTATGTTGGGTTGGGGCACTTTGTTTTTGACTTCCAAATATATCTATCATTCGTCAGGTCACTTTAGTCATCACCATCTTCATAATGATGTCAACTTTTAGTATTATTTGAATATGACATGGGTTTCTGAGATCAATCACTCTGTACAAAACACATCGTCATTATCTTTGACAAAACAGAGATAACAATATGTATTAAATGGAGATTTCGGTCTCAGAAACCCACGGTACTTAAGTTTATTATTATTGTTTATAAATGCTACTACTATTATTTAAATATGTGCTTATTTTCAGATGTGTGTGCTGTTCAGTTTGGTGTTGTTAGCGTCATCTGAAGCCTTCTTCTTAAAGTGGGGCTCCGATTCAACGTACGTATAAAAATTATAAATAATTCTAATGTCCTTATGTATTATGATGCGTATGATTGCCATTATGTATATTATATTTTTTGTTATATACAATGCATTGCGAAAGAATGATTTCTTTGAATGTTACGCTTTAAGCGAATTATGTATAAATTTATGTACATTTTAATAAATAATTTCCGTAATAATTGTACAACATCTGTTACATTACCTACGCTGTTGCGTTTTATTCCTGAAATAATAAAGAATTTTAAGCATTCTTACGATTTGAATGTGTCAAAGTTCTACCAAAACTGTTATTGTATTGGATTAACAATCATACGTCTTCATACTGTTTTAATAAACATAGCATTAAAGATATTAATGACAGTTCGTTTGTTGCAGACCGCAGTCATCTCAGAAAACTTGGGTACAACCGCTCGGACCGAACATGACGCCAGTGCAGTACCGATACCAGTACTCGTACCCGTATGAATCCCGTAAAGTGTACCAAGTACAAGGACAACAGTACCAACAGCCTGAGATATCGGTACAGCAGAGCATGGCTCCGATACCGATTAGCGTACCAGCAGGTGCCAGTTTGACTCCTGTGTCCCTGCAACATGTACAATTAGTACCCTGCATGTGTCCCGTGGCTCCTGAAGAGGCTGAGAAGCTCCAAGAACAAGTTGGTCCCGGACCATACTTAGCGCAATCGTATTCCCAAAACTCTTATCCTCCCCCGCAACAGATGACCTCAAGTGAGACAAAAACTACTTCAAAACAGTGATTTTTCATTGTTATTTTAGGGCAGCTTTTATTAATATCATTTATTAAATCGCCAATGAGTTTGTACTCTGTAATATGTTTCGTTTATTTATAAGACTGATAGTGTTAAGTTGATCGTATTCAAAATAAATTATTATTAATTGATGCTTTTAATTTTATTTTCCCCATATCATAGACTACTAATCTTCTCCAGGGAATCCTTGCCATATAAATTAAGCTACTTCTACATTCCAGCTACTTGCATCCAAAAATTTGGATAAACATTATTTTTTACAATCTCAATGAAAACGCGTTAAAGTACGTGCGTTCATGTAATTGTTTCACATGCAATGTTTGTGTTTGCATCCTTTTGTTGTTCTGATATCTCTACACGAAAATACCCCTGCACATACGATCGGAAGTACAGGTAAGCATTGCGCAAGCACTTTCATTGTTTCCAACGTAATATCACCGAGATTCTTCTATTCAATGAATGGAAACGTATTTTCTCCATGAGCGAGTTTTCACTTACGTTTATGCGATTAGAGTTATTTTAGTACAATGAGAGCAGAATAACATGGGACTTGTTACTAGCTACCAAACAATAATAAGGAATCGTATAATAAAAATATAATTTCGCATACGCTTCTGTACTTGAAATTGTGACGTCATCCTTATATATATTAAGTTACATCTGAAGTAAAAAATCTTAAGTATAGTCAAACAAGGATATCTGGCCTGATGAGAGAGTTGAGGTTGACGTTACTACTATCAGATTTTTTGTCAAACCATCATGGATATAGAAAATGGGAGAAAAGGAAATACATAACATGACAGCTGCAGAACAAAAAGAGGACATTTTTTTGACATTAACAGGAGGGCGTTAGTGAGCTATTATAAGGTCAGGTAATGTCTTTAAAGCTATGACAATTTTTGGATACGATATCATGGCCTCCCTAAAGGCTTCCTTTTCATTCTTCTCCTTTGAGTTTATAAGATACTTGTGTAGTATCAAGTATTAAGATAAAAGTGTAATAAGCTTGTAACAGTGGGATTCGATTGACTTGTCTTTGTTATGGTTGTATTCAAATGTGTCGGCAGTGGAAACCGAACGTTATGTAGGTGTGAGAAATTTCTGCACCCTAAGTGCGAATGATTCTGTCTGTCGATCATCGTTCAGGCTAAACGCGGGGAATTGTTACCAAGGACCGGATGATAATGTTTGACCCACTCAGCGGGCGTTGACTCTTATCAGAGATGCAATTTTGTGCATACAAAGCTTTAACCGTTGGTTTCTGAGACCCAATCCCTACCATTATTGTTGGCAAACCAGAAATAACCAAATGTTTTAAAGTAGGATTTTGGTCTCTGAAACCCACGATGAGTTGTCATAGCTATGAAAATAAGGAATAGAACAAATAATTCATGCGGTTTAAACCAATGTCTTATATTAGTACTACATTAAAACATAGACAACAATGGGACGAAACTAGAGTTGTGTTCTTTATTCCAACTTTTTTTGGAATTTGGATCTTATTAATGCTTTCATTGTCTATTCTGCGTTCTGCGAAACTGTCCGAAAGCTATGTCAAATTGATGTTACGTAATTAAATTGACATTTCAAGTAAAAGTAATATATGGTACATGTAAAAGTAATGTTTCCAAAAAGAAAGCGAAACTCTCTAGAGGGTGTAATCTTAGATGAGAAAATAAATCAGCTTGGTCAATATTACATGCCAATGGATCTCAATCCACTGTTTAAAAGTCATAAAGTAAAAGCTATAAAGAGAACAAGATATATTTTGTTACATGCCTCAAGATCTAGTTTACAGAATTCCAATTTTCATGAAATACTACGTTGCTCGTTAACTTTAGTATATTATTTTGCTATGAGATTGAAAATTAGGAGACAAAATAGAAGATGCTGGAACTGGTACGGTCGAAGGCTGTTTAAACGAGCTGAGCAATTGTTCCACAAAGCTATGGCAAGTTTGCAACCAGAACGTAGCGAGGACTCTATAAAAGTAACACTCAATTTCTTTACCGAAGTATCTCTATGGCCGTACGAAAGTTTTGTTCAACAAATACTTGAAATTGTTTTATACTATAATCGTGGTAAATCTACATTATTTTATTTAATGCTATCTGATATACATTGCATTTTATTTACCGACGTGATATCAGCAAGACATCGTATGAGAGTCCTTTACGAATTACTACAAAGTGAAAATTGGATTATTGATAAGCAAAAACTACTTCCTTTTATTATAAGATTCTTGAATTTCTTCGCTTATAGTATCGATAAAGGAGAAGATAAAGTACCAGCTTACAGATATCTTAAGAAAGGTTTTGAAGTATGTCTAAGAAGAATATTTGAGAGAGCTGAAAATCGTCACAGATTGACTATCATTGCAACTATGTTAAATTGGTTTTACATTGTTAATATGACTGACGATGATATTTTTGAATTTTCATCTTTATTAGATTATGCAGCGCAATTGTATCACGTCAAAATGTACAGTGAAAGCTTTTGTGAAGGTCTGTTTGATCATGTATTGAAAAATTTGATTGGTTCTCCGAATACTCTTCATAGTCTTGTCGGTATTCGGTTGCTGATAAGATTCCTCGATCGACAATGTAACGCTCAATATCTTGTTGTACCAACAATATATTACAGTTTTTCACAGGTAATAATTAAATTTTATCATAGCTAAACTAGTTAGCTGGTTACGGTTAAAATGTTGGTACTAAATATAGAAAATGTTTGGATGTATGCATGTTAGAAGGTATATCCAGAATTTGGCATAGATGCTAAACCTAGAACGTACCCTGGAATAACACATAGGCTACTAATTCAGTCCTTTTCATTATACGCGAATTAAGTTTTGGGCGACAGCTAGTTTACATTTGATATTATTGAAGGATTATGTTTATTTCAGGTGAATTTAAAAATTGGCGTATACGATAGTGGCGATAAAGCATTCATACGTCAGTATCGAGAGAAATTTCATAACTACTTCCTTAAAGCTGTGAAACAACATTACTACAGTGCTGTTAATTTAAAAACACTGTTTACTGCAATTAGTTGTATTGTGCTTGAAGTTCCTTGCGGGTTAACAGCTGCTGCAGCAGCTTGTATGGTCATGGTTATACAAGATTTTGCGATCAATGCTGAAGATATACCAGTTAGATGTAGATATTGGATGCATGCTATAGTTGTATCAGTGATGTCGTTAGTATGCTGGGTGCATAAAGCGCCAGATCTTTACAGATATGTAAATCAAATAATATCCAGAAGAGCGAAGGAAGCACCACAATTAAATCCTCCGTTAACGAAAATCTACAATATCGAGAATAAACATATTATGTGGAATAAACCGACGTTGTTTTTTGAGGATTGGGAATTACGTTACGGCCTTTGGAAACATTTTCAAGGTACCCCTGTAAGTGATGTTGAACTTTTCTTTTGTTACAGACCAATGAGTACCCAAATTACTTTCTTAGTAGTACTAGTAGTAATGTTAGAGGCTACTGTTTACGCACCAAAGAACCTTAGCAACCTCTTTAAAAGTTCTTTCATACAGATCTTTTCTTTGCTTTAATTTTTTATTGGAATCACAATAGCAGCAATTTTAATAATGATTTATCACAATTTACCTTTATAAAATTTATGCGATGTTGTATTTGGTACTTATTTGTTTTTTTTTGTCCGATTGACAGAGCAGAAGACATCAGAGTATATCCAAATTGAAAACGCCGTACATCAATATTAAAGTGTGAATTTCAATTATATTATAATTAAGTTATATATATTTATATTTATACTTAAGTTCAAATAAAGTGCAAGTTATTAAATTTGTTTTTTTTTACCTTATCTTCAATACGATAATTGAAATCTACCAAAACAATCCAATCTGGATGGATGCATATATGGATGTTTCTAACAAGGTATCTTCAAAACGTCTTAACGGATCACGAAGAAATGAGACATAGATGTAGGGCTTGGTCTGAAAGAACGCATAGGTTACTACTAATTAAGATATTATTAATTCCGCGCGAGCGAAGTCGCGGGCGACAGCTAATATTAGCATAAAGTAATTGTTAACTATGGATTATCATCACCATATAAACTTATCATCTATCTGCGTGAACTGTCAATCGTAAAGCCTTTCAGATCTAATTAAATAAGTATTACTATCATGTTTATACTTCGCGTTTTAATATGCGATTTATCTTTTTAAATAACATAACTAAACGCAGCATTTATGTAGGTGTTGTGATACGTTCGTTTGGTTACGTATTCTTGGTACGTAATGTTCGGAAGTGCAAGGAAACACGCGTTAAATAAGGCAATTAGATAGCACTAACTAGAACAATTAAAATAATTCCGTATAGAGATATTAGAATCAAAGAAAATAATCTTAATTGTTTGGTACAAATTCACAAATAAGAATCCTCTATACCTTTTTTATTAGATTAGGCTTCTCTCAAACGAAGTCTAATATATGTATGATTTTAATCATATTAGTTTGCGCGTATGTGCGTTTTAGTGTAGTGATTTACTGACGAAACACACAAAAATGTATTCAGTTATTTCTCATATTTTGCCTGAAAAGTCTGAACGAGCAATATCTTTTATCATGATTGACTAGGCAGTGAAAACTCACGTCAATAGGTTACTGACAACATCGCTTTTTGTTTTTTACGGGAAGTTAATCTATCACAAAACAAAACACCGGCGACAAGATTTCCGCTTCATTCCTTAATGTGTTAATGATAGGGAAGTTAGTCTTTTTGTAACATTCGCTGAGAGATAAAGACATCAAAGTAATATTTGGTGTAAGAAATCTATTACACAATAAATTAGCGTGATAAAGTCAAAATAGAGTTACTCACCGCTGATTTCTGAGACCTAAATCCCCGTTTAAAACATATTGTTATTTGTTTTGTGAAACAGGAATGACGAGATTTTATAGAGATTTCGGTCTCAGAAACCAACAGTTAGTGCGTTTACATTGTGATAACAGTTATCCATTCTTCTTTTCATTCGTTTATTGTTTATATTTTTCTAAACCACTGGATATATATTGAACGTTTTGTATCGTGCTCTTAGAACGTCAGAAAAAGTTGTTTCCTAAAAATTAAAAATCTTTGCTAACATTATTATTTTGACTTTCGATAATTGGCATTGCAACGCATGTCGGGTCCCGTATAAACATTATTTCTATGACATTGTAAATCTACATAACAAAGCAAATAATGCACAAACCAATTACAGATTGAAAGTCGGCTCCCGTCATTGTTATTGGAATTCACATAAATTATGTATACGTTCATTCTGATCGTTTTATCATCATAATATCAATATGTGTTAAATGAATATAACATAAGTAAGAAAATATGGAATTATTCTGTGAGAGAGGATACAAAAGTATGGAGGAGGACATACTGTGCCGACCCTCCGTTATAGAGCAGGATGACGGCGACGCGGCTCGTCCCCGTCACGTTCCGTATCAACGAAGGGTGACAAGTAGACTGGAAGTTCGTTTGATCATCGCCAAATGGAAGTCTGTCTACCCCTCTGAGTTACATTAATAAATTTTAATGTCATTTCTTTAAATTCACTAATGGTTTATTACTTTACATTTTTTATATTAGTTTGTTAAATTGGCAGTGTTCATAAATTAGATCGGCCAAATGGGAATTCCTATTGCGATGATAGATCACTGGGCTAAACGGCCCAACGGGAAAAACCTGACAGATGGTACACGTTAGCTACGTAAATTATTATTTACCCTGATCTGGAAGCCATTCATCTACTCTTGAAGTCGTGTATTGTTTGGAATTGTTTGTTATTTTCAGTCATACAATTATTCTGTTAGTGTTTTTAGGTCGTGTGATTTCTAACTACAATTGTCGGAGGCTTGATATCAATCCGCTCCCAGGGGCAAAGACCGGATGGAGTAGCAACGATTCAATCTATTCAGGCAGGTCAGGAACGGCTGTGGCTCCATCTAGTGATGAGCTTGGTTGATTTTTTATCGTGAAAACATATCTTTTAATTGATTTATATTATCAATTTTTGCTTGATTTACATAACGAAATGTGTCATACGACATTTAAAGTTAAAAAACAATCCGAGAAACTAAAAAGTAAACAAAAAAGACCGGAATATTAAAAGCCTTATTTCCAGATTTTATTATTTAAGTTTATTAAATATTTCTACAAAGTTATCAGAGCGAAACTTATTTCATCATGACAAATATGGCAAAAACCATGGACCAATTAGATAATCGGTTTTATAAGTTACAAAACGATAGGCCTAATCCGGATTACGATTATATAAGTATACATAAGTTGCAGTTTAAGTAAATAACAGAAGAAAGTTACACTTCAATTGTTTTTTTGCGAAAAGTGATTTACAGGATTTACAAAGGCTTTATAATCTCAGATGAAATTGTCTTTCCTATTGTACTCTTAGCAAATTTTCAACATGTATTGGGCGTAGTGAAAACAACAGCATGTCTTATTGCAGCTACATGATTTATAAGGGATGAAAACTTACACCTACTATTTTTATAAATTATAGAAGAATTAAGTTATTCATTGAATAATTTTGTTATCTGTTCTGTATTGATTCTAAATATGAGCCAATTTTTACGTATTAAGTAGTGAACGGAGTGGTACTATTTAACAGAGACCCAAGAGGGATGGTGGATTGTCAAACTTAACTGACTTACATCTTTGAGTGTGATACCATGGTTCAGAGAATAAGTAAGGATGCTTGCCATGTAGACCTCTTTTAGGAGACCTGCTTCTTTGCTAGCATTATATAAAAATAAAAACGATTTTTTTCATCGACTACAAAAGTTCGATATCACTACCTACGACCCTAGCCAAGGCAATTTGCAACTATTATAGCATTTAAGTATTTTATTTTCTATTAAAATATCCTGTGATTTGTGACCCAAATAAAACAATCCTAGGTGATAGAGATAGTTAAATGCAATTTTTTGCAATCTGAAAGAGAGGAACGATTCGTAATTCTGGATCGCGTGCAAATCATGTGTGGTATATAAGTATTTGTTTTATGCTCCAACTATCATTGTCAGTCTGTGCGTAGAATCGGTCGGTGCTGAAGCTGAAGCTATTCTCACGCATCTAAAGTGCTTTTTGTCAACGTTCAACGAGTTGTGCTTTCGCCTGCATTGTTGTCATGGATTGCCGAACTGTGGTAAATTTTTTTAGTATAAATTTTTGACACGTTGCTTTCGTTTTCAGTTGCTTTGTGATATTTATATTTCTTTTTATTAATTTTAATTGTACGTTAATTTTATATTTATTGTTTTTATCAGCGAATAATAGGGCGTATGTTTGAAATGTTCAGAATCTGGTTCGAATCCGCGACTTTGTTTCGATAGAATTTGCTCTGCGATAAATTAATTTGTATTCTAGAAACCTTTAAACATGTTACCCGTTTTCATTTTCAAATAATAACGAAGCTTAAAATCTATGTAAATATATCTATTTAAAATGTACTCAGGTTTTGTAGTTGTACGAGTATTTATTTACGTCTTCGCTGAGGGATGTATTTTTATGTTTCAGCTGTTTTTAGCTGCGATCTTATTCATGCTGGCTGCGAACATTGAAGGGTATGTATAAAATTGGATTTAAAAATATCTTTATAATGGTCTAAAACGACGACCCTACTTTTGGGTTCATGGGTTCGATTCCCAGATCGTGCAAATGAGTTTTGCGAACATCATTTACCATCTCAGTCTTCTTGTTGGTATTTAAAACTATATTTAAGACGTGCTAAAAGTGATAGCATTTTTTAACACAAAACGTATCATGCGTTGCTATCTTAAAATTGAAGAAAGTGACTATATTAAGTTTGTCATTTTGTTGTCACCATACGGGAAAACTTTACAGATAAATAACAGATAGAGTGATGTTACGGCTTTTCGCATATCTAGAGTTAGAGTTTTATTGACTACACATACAGAATTGATTTTCCGTATAGATTCTTTTTGTAAATAAAATATTGGAAAATATTGTTTTGCTATCCTGAAAAAGTCTTTTAAAAAAGTTTCGTGTGTATTCACGCAATTTCTAAGAGACAAGAAATAAAGGCGTGTTCGAGGTGTCACGGTGTCTGATCATGTTACGATTTTTTAATAATTTAACTTTCCACTCAGAGTCTTTTGTGGGTACTAAGGAGTTGCCTTAGTGCAGAAGTAGTATGAAATATCTATACTAAGATGTTAATGCAACCATTAAACGATTTGAAAACATGACCATAAAGAATTTCTCTATTTAATAAACGATAAAAAAAATATCTCATTGTAATTTTCAACTTTCGATAAATACGAACACAGTTTTTTTTCCAAACAGAAAGATGATGCCAAAATCATCGTACAGGCGTTACGATTGTAAAGTTCCTAATTGGTTACCTACAAGACGTCGCTCATACAGTTGACCTATACTTATCATTATAGCGTTTTTCAATGTGTACGGAACCGTGAAAGTATCTTAGCTAACAAAGCATTACTAGCCCCAACTACAGGAAACATATTCGTGAGACGCACTCGCGCGTAGCAAACAAGAAATTACGGTAATATGACGGAAACTAGCGCTTTACATAAAGCGCACATGTTTGTTTTTATTCGATGAAATTTAGCTTATACTTTTCTAGAACACATGGTAGGGGGGGAATTAATTTGGGAATATCCTAAAAACTACACCATAAAAGTGGACTTAGGTTGTACTCGTATAATTAGCCCTTACAACACTAATGGTTTTAGCTTTATAATCTTTTTCTGGCCAGATTTCTACCGCACCCTTATCATGGCTTTGGAAGATTAACAATGTTTTGTGAACTGGTGTAATTCGCAGAAATGTGCCCCTTTCTATCCAGCGTCCTGGGCGGTCGCTTAATCGCGCCCTACCTTAACGCCGGTACTGCCTATATATCATATAACAAACAATATAGAAGAAAGTAGGCCCGGTGGACCTATATCTATATGTAGTCTAGAGGTCCTGGTTTCATTCAATACGTTTACTAGGCCAACGTGGTCAGCTAAGATCTTGGCACTACTAACATATGGTAGGCTCGATCACTTCAAAGAGCCCTATATGAGTAGAAATAATAAATAATAAAATAAAATTATTATTACATATTGAGGTAAAAGTTCTTTGTTTTTACAGGCGCACTAAGAAGGTTGTGATACATGTTCCTGTGAAGACAAACAAATTGAAGCACACACACACCGTATACAGAACGGTGCATCATCATCACACCCACCATAATTTGCCCGACCACGGTCCCTTCCCTGTCGAAGAGCATGAGCATTTCCATCACTACGACCCACCTGAACCTGAGCCCGCGTTATCTCACAATGAACCTCTCAATACTATCGGATTGGACGGGTTTCTACCCGATGCACCACTTGATGTTCATGATTTTATTAATCTAGATAACAAACCGCTCAAGATTCCATTCAACCCACGATATGTACACCGAGGAGTTCCTTACCGACCGGGTTTTGTAAGTATAAATAACATTATTCCTTCCAAAAAAACTTAATAATAAAAAATATACTTCAAGAGAAGACGACGAATCTAATGACACTTAAGGGCCCATTCAGACTATTTTACCGTTCCAAATGTTATTTACCCTTGCTCTTAATAAAAAAGAGTCTCGACAGACAGACAGACGGACAACAAAGTGATCATATAAGTGTTCCGTTTGTTCCTTTCGAGGTACGGAACCCTAATAAGGACATGCGAAATAAAGTTAAACCTCTCGTGAAGCATATAAAACACGTAATTAGTTAGCTGCTGTCCGCCCCGATCTGTATGTACTGGAACTAAAAGATTCAGTTACTAAGCTATTAGAGGTCGAAATGAAGTTGAACTGCATGCAAGTCCACATTTAGAAAATATTTATCTGGTCATTAGTCATCCTAAAATGAAAAAAGTAGATGTAAGAAGACTGCGTTTAACAATATTTTAAGACGCCAAAAGCACACATAAATAACTCATTTTAACATTGTTCCAGCTTATGGAGATGAATTAAGAATACCGCTGTCGACCATCTTAGATTACCACCTTGAAGTGTTCACGAATCCCACAGCTCAAGTATTCTTGACTCAAAGAATACGTAAAGAAGACACTGCCATGTTGAAGACATTAAGTCGAATTTCCACTGTCGTATTATGTTTGCCAGCAATATTGCTATCTCTTTTAATCTATTTGACTAAAAACAGAGATAGCAATAATGTTCGAATACATGTTATGACAGTTGAAATTCTCCATTAAATTAATTAAGACGAATAATTTTAATTTTAAGATTTTTACTCTTTCACATATTGATACTCTGTTCGATATAGCCTAGCGATAGTTTTAAAATGTTGCTAAAATTATATTTTATTTGTTATAACAGTGCTACCACTACCGAAACAAGTGGATAAAACATATTGTTATCCCTTTCGTTGCCTTTGAAACTATCGAGATGGCAATAATTTGTTCCCGTGTTTCGGCAGTGGATGGTTCAATAACGCTCACTTGTGTTGTTTTACGTTATTTAAATTAATAGTATATAAGTAAAAGTTGTATTATTAATACGTACAAATATAATAAATAATTTAATGAAAACTTTAAATTGCCAAATTCTATGCCAAAGATTAATATTTTTTTTTCAAAATTTCATTTCAAATTCTTTAAATTTAATTTGATGTAGTTTACCATCGGCTATATATTATTTATAATATTAGAAAGTAAGATTTTAAAAATATTGTTAAAATTAAGTGTAAAACCAAATAAACAGAAAATTTTAAACATTATAAAACGAAAATTTCAACAATTGAATTGTAATTAAAGCATTTTGGGGGTGATTAAAAAAAAAACTGTCACTGTTTAAAATATGAGTTAAAAAAGATTTGCTGTGCGCTGAAAGTTTTATACTTTAGTAATATATAACTAAATATTTCTTTGTTCTTTTTTTATTTGTTTGATACATAATATATTTAATGCTGGCATTTTATTGTTAAGAAATAATTAGATATTGTGTAATCATTATAATTTTTAATTAAACTCATTGTACTCCATTTTTTTATTTTATTTAAAAAAATAAGATTTAAAATATTAATTTTATATCCTTTATAGAGCGAATGTTTTCCTTGTCTTATTCGTATGTGTTCCGAGCTTTCCAGTAAGCACATATTGATCCTGCCTCAATTGATGAAGCGTTATTAAAGCAATTGAAACCCTTTTTAATCGAAAAAAGTATTCGAAACATTTTTGATTGTAATCGCATAAAGCATTAACCGTTGGTTTCTGAGACCAAAGTCCCCGTTTAAAATATTGTTAACTCTGTTTTGTCAAAGATAATGACTGTCATTATTGATAACGATATGTTAAATACAGAGATTTTGTCAATCAGCTAACAGTAGAATTCCACTGTTACGATACTTGTAGTAATACATAGTCTCTGTTTTATCAAAGATAATGGAAGAGAGGGAAATTTCTATCAGTACAAGTGCCACGGCAGTGGAATTCTATAATTACGCTAACGCTCTTAATGTACTTTCACTGCAACAAAATCATAGGTTTATAAACAAGGAAAACAGTCGGTTTCTACCTCGAACTATTATAAAAGCTTTGAAAGATATCCTGATTCTACCATTGAACCAACGCAAACACGTTTTATAGATTAAGGAGATATTTATGAATCAGTTCTCTTCCAAGCCAAATTCATTTCCCCTCCCCATCCTTTCTAAATAGAGTTACCTTGGAAAGTGAAAAAAACATCGATACATAGTACTTTATTAAATGAAACATGGAAAAACTTCTTACTAACTTATAAGAGTTTTCACTGATGGAACTACATTGTTAGACAACCAATGATGCTGATGCTGGCATGGAGAGCTGCTCGACGCATCCTTAAAGGCATATCAAGATGAGCCCGACCTACAGTAATGAAGTATGCGAAGAAGAAGAAGATTTTCATTCTATTGTCAATATGTCAAGAATATATTTAATGGATTTCTTGTTTTACCTACTGAGATTTATTCTTTAGGGTTACTGACTTAAGTACATTTTTCTACAGAATTAAGAAGTAAATAAGTAAATTATAAGTTGGAATAAATGTGTAGGTAATAATAAATCTAGATAAAGTACTATGATTAAGTAATAGCGGTGTCGGATTTGTTTTGGGTTTGTTTACGAGCGCTCACAACTTTGGGATATTTATTATAGGATCGTGTGCATTCCGATGGTGAAATAAAATACTTTTATACACATTTTGATGTTACGAGGTTAATCACCTACATGCCATGATGTTCGTTTACTTAAAATTCCTGTTAACATTTTCATTTATGAGGGACTTTGAAAAACCAAAGAAGAATTATTTATAGAATATGTTTATTAGTTGTCGTAATTTATAAAATTCCTAAGTTACTCCCGCATCAGCTACCTTCCACTAAAAGTACCATGCAACCATTTTGGAGATGGACAGACAGACAAAAATATAAAAAATTGGTTTTTCACTCTTAATATCGTAAACAAAATAATATATTGCAGACTTTAAATAGCAAATCAAGTACCTGCTGTACAATGAGGCTATGGGTACAAGTTCACACGCGTAAAGATGCTTCAATAAACTTACTACTTCCAAAGTTAAGGTATCATAAGTGGATAGATTTATTTCTGTCTCAATTAGATACTATTAACCTATAAGCAAATGGTTAATAAGTAAGTAATATTATAAACTGTAGAAGGCTATATAGATAGAGGAAAAACAAAAAAAAACACTTTATGGATTAAAGAGCATAAGTAGGAATTCATATATGACGGCTGACAGAGATGTATGGAATAGTACATAATATGCCCACCCTCTTCAAGAACAAGAGCGGTTTGATGAGTTTACCTATAAGTAAATTTGAAAGTAAAAGATTCAATTTTGATAAACAATCCATTGTTTAGTTTAACGGAACTGTTCTAAATGTAGTGCAATAACACTATTATGTCATCAACCCTAATCGAATACGTTGTTTTGGTGCGACCACGTAACGATTTCAAGCATCGCGAAAAACGTATTTATCTATTCAGACGGACACAGGAAAACCAACTTTATTTATAACACATTTAGGTTCAGTTTTAAAGTATACAAAAGTAACAAGTATGTCGTCGCATGGTCCACTGATAATATCTATTGTCGTTTCTTTGTTGACGTTACAGACTTATTTAAGTAAAATTGGATAAATGGTCATCTCACTATTTTCTTACGTTCAAACCGTCTTGGTTCGGCCACTGTGCGGTTCTTAGTTCGCGATGTTCGACGGGCGGTCGGTGATCTAATAAAAAAGGAAAAACCGGGAAGCAATGAAAGTATAAGTTGTGCAAAACAAAATGTGAAGGCGTCTTGGACGTTTTGTGCTGGCTCTGTTGATATTGTATCGCAGCAAGTGTCGGACCATTGAGGTGTTAGCACGTCTTTAGGAATGGATCTATCCAAGTACTTGGCTATTGTTATTGTGCTATTTGTCGACAGTGGCGAAACTGGCGGTCATGGAGGAAAGCACCAGTAAGTTTTATAAGATTCCATATAACGTAATTAATGCTTGCAAATATTATTTTTTAGGCTTTTGCGAACTGGTATATGTACTAATTATATTGAAATATTTTATTACAGGTTTTTTAAAATTATAATCAATTTCAATAAATTAGGCTGAAATTTTTACGTCGCAATTAACCATAAATATTGCTACTAACCATAACTATAACTATATGCTAACGCGAAATGTTATATTTATTTAGTTAAAATAAGTTTAAGAATTTTCTTACTAAATATTACTTAGTTAATTTTTATTAACGATACTTTTTTTTTCGCAGTGACCATGTCAAACTCCATATGCCAGAGTTTATTCATCACGATCATCATACAAAAGTGATTACAATCCACCATCACCATCACAAACCGAAGAAAGAACATCATCATCATCACCATCATCATCACCAACCGAAGCCGCACATCCCCCATCATCATTATAATCACCATCATCATAAAACAACTCTTAAAACAACTACAGTATCGAAAGGTCACAAGCAAGCTGGTCACGGTCATTCCGGTCACCATGGTCACCACAGCCATCATGGTGGTAGCCACGGTAGCCACGGTGGTCACTATGGTCATCATGGGTCATCACATCATGATACGCCATCATTTAATCACAACATACCATCGGTTAGTCACGACCCAGGTCACGTTTCATTTGAAGATGATTTTAAATCTTTTACTCCATCAATACCAGTTAACATTCCCAATAATCCACACGTTCATGGAGTTGTACATACAGTTAAACAAGTCAAAGTGTTCGATTCGTTACCCGGGTCGATAAAAAGTAACTCAGGTTCTGGATCCAATGGTTACGAAGTAACTGAAGAAGGTGAAGAGGGTGATGAAGATGCGTTTACTTCTATTAATACAATTCCTCAAACATACCAAGGTACATACGGTTTTGTAAGAAATGCTGCACAAGCCGAAAATTACCCTGGAGTAGCACTTCAAAGTGCTGTGCAATTGAATCACGATCCATTCTCAGCGGCGCCTGGACCGAGTGCGTTTTCTGGATTAGAGAACTTCTCCAGTGATGGTCAAGATTCATTCCCGAGTTCGTTTGCTAATCAGGGTACCAATGGGCACACTCTACCTGAATTCTCAGGACAGACTGAGCAGATATCTGGTTTTGATGATCCCGAAAATAGTTTCGTTGGTAATGACATAAGTGGTACTTCGTTACTTTCTGCAGAAGCCAATGATGATATACCGGTGACTTATTCAAGAGAGGCGGGCATACAACAATCAGTTAAAACGGGAGGTCTCCAAACTGTTGTATACTAATACCTATCTTATTCATTATTAAATTAATGTTGTTTTTATTATTAACGTACTTTACTTTACTGTTTTGTATTTTAACTTTGTTATTTTATGTGTAAGATTTTATAATTTTTAAAGCACCAAATACTCATTGTACTGACGATAGGATAGTTCCAAATATAAGTTATTTTACTTTATTATTTAGCTGAATTAATTATATTTAAAATAAGTACAAAACATAAAGCATAGATTAAGTTGTTGTTTGTTAAAGTTTTATCTTAATAAAAAAATTGAAGATAATTTGTCTTTGATTACTTATCCTATATTTAGATATGTGGACGCATCATTTTTACTTACAGCCGTTGTAGATGTAACGTAGACTTTATTCGTACGTATTACATGTTTTTGTAATAATCTTTCATTAAACAACGATTCAACGACAACAATACCAATTGAAATTGAAAGTAAGTAGAGAGTATAGAAAACGGCAACTACAATGAAAAACATTTGACGTGTGATAAGTACGCATTGTCATATAGTAGTTTGTATTCTTAGCGAACCGTAGAACGGGTAATTTTATTGCATACAATAAAAGAATAGAACAAAATCGAACACAATTGGATATGCCCTAGATTTTCGGTTGCGCAATGAAAAAAATAAACTGTTACCAAGTCGACGTAACCACTGCATAATAATCAAAAAGAAATCAAAAGTAAGACATCAATTGCCCAACAGTTGCATTTATTACAACTATTGCTAATTTGAAAATGGAATCATATTTTTTTTTACGTCTTTACTTACCATGGGTTTCTAAAAATCTCCGTTTGAAATATATTCTTACCTCTGTTTCTGTCAAAGATAATGACATCGTTGATAATATGTTTGAGATACAGACATTTGGGTCCCAGAAACCGACGGTTACTACCGAAATTTTAAATCCATTTCGAACGTTTAAAGATCGCAATACCAATTGAAAAATTCCTTACAAAGGTATTATAGTATATTTCGAATCGAATATTGATTTCAGCGGATAATATACGATGAAAGGAAAAAACAAAATGACACCGGAAGGAAAGGGGGCAATGTCGTTTGCGGATATTATTATGTTCTTGCATCATAATGACAGTACAGTTAGATAGTTCTTTGCTTGCCGTTGCTTTTACAACTTGAAGAGCAGTTGCTTATTAATTGTAATCACAAGTCGACATGCAACAAAAGCAAAGCAAATTGCGGGTTTCCACTTCACAGAGACATGTTATAAAACATTGCAGTTGTCACTGTTTAGTGAATGAGTATGAAAGGGATGACAATATGTATTAACTAGCTGTCGCGGGCGACAGCTAGTTAATACATCCCGGACGCCGAATTTAGTCCACTTTCCCTCCTACCCTTTTTCTCATAAGAAACGGATGGGAAGTGGAAGTGGATTTTCCGGATTAGAGGATGCATGGAAAGGGAAAATATTTTTTCTTTCTGTGCATCCTCTCCTCCGTCGATTAAAGGTAGGTAACGCATATGCAATTGCGTATGTCTATGGGCAACGGTCACTTCGCTATTTCAGCGATTTCAGGTGACCGATCGCTCGTTTGCCACCTTATGATATAAAAAAAAACCCTAAGTTCCTTGACGAATGTATTAACGTAACAAAACGAAGTCTAATTGGAAAGTGTTGTTACATTTAGCTATTTACATTATTGCACAATGTTATTCGTTAAACAATTGATTCGCAATCGTAATAAATAAATATTCATATTATTTTTTTAGATGGAACAAGGAAGAAGAATAAATTATTACTCAACGTATATATGATGCTGAAAAGAAAAGTTGTGAAATTATTTTTATTTTTCTCGAAAATATACGCTACTTATAATAACTAATCTAATAATCAATAACGTTTTTATTACTATTATTTAAGTAAATTTTATGTCATTTTATATCAGTAAATTTACTTATAAATTAATTTTTTCATTTATATTATTATTCTCAAAGTTAAAGTTCACGAATTTCGTCTCAAAAACAAAGGAATTTAATCACATGTTAAGCTCAAAGTGATAGAAACTTCCCTAGCAACGCGTAAAAGTTGGCACAGTTGCTATGGCAACCATCATCGGACGGCCCAAACGCGCTATCGTACATGATATACGAGGCATTCTGTTTTAATATTGATGAACTTTTGAAGGATTATTTTTTGCATTAACTCGTTAAATTTGAGTAGACTTTACTTAAATTATAATATTGATATTCCTGGATAAGAGAGTGAAGAGACTCGATCTTCCTTATAAGTTAACTTTAAAATTTTCACAAAAATCTTGTTGTATACTATTTTAGAAGAGTAAAGTTTTAGCCACCTTCTCTTCTCCTCTTCTGTAAAATTTCTATAAAAAACTTCAGACAACAATATGAAATTTCTGAAGTACTTTGGTGAGATAAAACATTTGGATGGATGTTTGTTAGAAAGTATCTCCAGAACAGCTTCAATAATCTCGCCGAATTTTGGCATGTATGTAGAACATCATATAGAAGAATACATAGGTTACTAATTAAGCGTATTTTATCTCCGCGAGGACGAAGTCGAAGGCGACATCTAGTTAATGTATATTTCAGAGTAAAATGAGGTAAAAATAAAAATAAAACTCAAATAACTACAAACAAAACAATAACTTTATTTTTAAAAATATCCAATTTTTCTTGGAATCACACATCACACCAACACAAAACAAACCTCATAAAATATACAACATTATTTCTCTTCTTAAAACATAACAAATACTTAATAGAAATATTAATTATTTATAGGGAATCTAAATCCGGTAAAACACCTTTAGCTTTAACATCACGGTTATAACTGAATAATCGAACAATTCGTTTAATTTTAAAACTTGCGTACACATACCAAACAGAAAACTACAGTTTAACTGTTCCAATGTCCCTAAGCAGTTCGACTGTTCAGTTGAAACTGTACAGTTAAAACTAAACGTGTATAGCTGGCTTTATATTGTTGATACTTATAAAAGCTTGTTAACATAAATAATGATCAAAATGCAATCAGAATATAAATTGTACAAATAAAATATACAAATTGCTTCAACTTTAGTGATTTATAAGTATTAAAAAGTTAGATACTGTCTATAGATAAATTTTAAGTCAGGTAGAGTTTAAATCAAATCAAGCAAAAGTAAACTTAAACCCATTGGAACACAGTGCATAATGTTTTGATTAAAATGTAATATGTATTAGTTACTTTTGAGTTTTTGGTATATAATATCAGCGATGTTATTAGAGGAGAAATTGTTCCTTTACTTGTTGTACATTTATGTTTGTTCTTTATAACAAATAAAGATAATTTGTTTGCATATAAATAATTTCTTCAATTTGCACACACACACACACACACAAGCAAATACAGTCATAGACACGCGACAACATACAAAATCTAGACAGGCTCAATTAAAAGAGCAGGCAGTTGAAAAATATATTTCTTAACAGTAATTAAAGCAGTAACTAATAAAGTCTTTTCTATAGATACTGTATTGTTTACTAATAATCTGTTCTAGAACTTTCTTACAGATAGACAGAACAGTTTTTACTACTTTCACACAACTCTATCAGCCGTCATATATGAATTAACATATCTTTCACACAATACATCCATACTTTCATCTGTTTTCCGAATATATTAACGTATTTGCTTAATATTGTTCTGGCAAGAAGACGGTTATATAAAGAAGTATAATTTAATGCTATTTGTGTATATATTTATGGATATTGTTTAATATCCGTGGCCTGTGTCGTCGCCTGATAGGCCGTAGCTACCGTGGTCTCCACCTTCGAAGCTGACAGGGGAATCCTCATGCCCGTGACCTTCGTCTGCAGCACCCCAACCGTGGCCTGGAAAATTTCAAATAGTACATTTTAACTATACTTTACCACGAGAATTCTTAAAATCGACTAAAAAATAATAAGGTTAAGAACTTTTTTTTCCGATAGGTATATTTGAATCTAAAAATTTACCAAAAAAATTCTGAATGGAAATCGTAATCAGTGTCTACTTTACTGACATCCCATAAAATCAGTATTTATAATAAAACAAGGAAATAAAGTTTTAGCCTCCTGAGCATATATTTGCTAATTAGCTGTCGCAAGCGACTCTGTTAGCGCGGAATTAAAAAAAAAAATAGTAGCGTGTGTGTTCTTCCAGACTATGTTCTACATCTATGCCAAATTTCAGCGATATACATGCAACTGTTCTGGAGATACCTTCTCACAAATGTCACATTTATAATATTAGTAATATTAAATAACATAAAAATAAACTTACCACCGCCGAAATGTGGTGCAGCTTTAGGTTCACCATAAGTATATCCTAGAACCTCGTAATGATCATCACCACCGCCACCACCGCTCTTGTGGTGTACATGTTTCACGATGGTGTGCTTGTGGTGATGATGCTTCACGAACAATGGCACGTGGATGACCACCTTCTTGTGACCACCGCCGTGACCGTCCGCAGCTATCAATGACGCCAACTCGGCAACGCAAACGAGGACCAACTGCAATAAAAAATAAATGTTATGAGATAATTTAATTATAGAGAAACATGATAAAAAAGGACATCATCATCATCATCAGCTCACTATACGTCCCCATGGAGGGTCTCGGAGCCTACCCTAAACTAGGGTGATTAGACCATAGTCAACCATGCTGGCCAAGTGAGCGTTGTTTGACTTCACACATATCTTTTAATTTCTACTCAGATATGTGCAGGTTGCATCACGATGTTTTCATTCACCGTAATAACGTCGGAAAAATGTACATATATAAATCGGAAATCGAAAAACACATTGGTACATGGCGGGATTCGAACCCTGCAGATTGCAAGTCAAGAGCTTGACCCTTGAGCCACAGACGCTCTTAAAAAAGGACACGTGTTTAATATTGCTTTGATTAAAAAGTTATGATTATGCATTAACATTTGCCCGTTATTATAGCTTAAAAATAATGAGTATGTCAAACTACAAAACTCGTTTATGTTTAAAACTAAATTTTCTGACTTAAATCTATAAATTTGCAGTAATAAAGCTAACAAACTACAGTTTAAATGCTTTATCAAGTCATTTTATAATTTCAATTAAAATATTCGCAATGCATATAATACGATAATTTGTAAATAAAATTCACAATAAAATTCGCAGATCAGCATAGAACAAATTAAAAAAAGGAATAGTTCTACTTAAATATCTTGAAGTTAGGTATCGAAAGTTTCATTGTAAACTGCCCCTTATACATCGTAGTTATTTACCGTGTCCAAATTAATAGTTTTGTAACAGCTTACTTTCATGTAAAAAGAAATAAACATCACTTGATATAATCATGTTTTGCCTCTCACTATCCCATTTTATTTGTATTATTTGTTAGAAAAGTGGACGCGGCATTCGCTTCTCGGTTTGCGGGATTGTGTTCAATAAACGCGAGTTTCCACTGCCGAAACAATCTAACATAAATTATTTGGTTTTATAAGGTTTTATTAAAAAAGGGATGACAATATATACTTTCTGTCAGAAGATACGAAAAGCAAAACTTCGAAAGCTATTTGTAAGACTTAAAATATTCAGAAAAACTGAAATCTTAATTATATTTTTAGGTATTTAAGTGTGTTATAAATACTAAATATATTTAAAAAAATCATTAAAGATATAATTAAAAAATATATATTATATCACAGTCAATAAAAATATCTGCAATTTTTAAATAACTTAATTACAATTCCATAACATTATATTAAACACATGCTAACTATGAATATATAAAAATCAATTTTTTTTATACTTTAGCGTAACGAAACACCAATTATTATATTGTTACTGTAAAAAAAGATATCAATTTGCTCTCTAATTTCAAAATAGTAACCACTGAAAGTACATGAAAAAATATATCTGAAGGTCGCTTCAAAAATTTACAACATCGATTGATAAATGCGTACTCACCAAAAAACGTGCTGCCATGTTGGATATTGGAACGTTGGAAGGTTGGTCTAGACGCGATTGCAGTTGGATGTTGTGTGATAAAGAAATTTAAACAAAACTTCCTTTTATATCGCAACGTGATCGTTTCGCGACACTGCCTCTCGGAGGCTTAATGTAATTGCATTTGCCAAATCATATTGAACCTTAACATAAGGATTCAAAGCTCAAAGTAATTATTTAATTTATACTGTTGTGTTCACATAATGCTGAAGAAATTTAAAATCTATTGTAAGTTGGTAAAGCTCATAGTAATTATATGAAAGATTGGTTTGGTACATTGATAATTTGTTTATGGAGGTGCTTCTGAATCAAGTAGGGGGATGATAATTTTTTTTAAATTGTCTATTGATAAGTGGTCACTGATATAAGATTTTTACATAAGTCAGATTTCTGTAGTAGCAATTTTATATTTTCAGAAGGAATTAAGTGAATCCTAACTAGTGGTCTTTACATACATATATGTATTTATTCGTATTATTCTTTTTAATCGAAAAAAATATCTTTAGAAAACTAAAAATATAAATATTTTTAATCTTTAAAAAAGTTTAAAATCTTTAAAAAAAAATTATATATCATACATGGTGTTATTATAAAACGGAGTAATAAGTTTGAACGCCATTAATTTACATCAGAACAGTTATAATAGAATTATCAATAAAGATGGATGGATGGGTGGTATTCCACAACGGTGCGATTCTCGCGCAATTTCTTGCCTCGCACAGCCGCGTTTGGAACGGTCTGTCCTCAGTGGTATTTCCAAACCAATACGACTTAGGGACCTTTAAGAAGCGAGCATACCATTACCTTAAAGGTCGGAAACGCATCTGCAGTTCCTTTTGTGTTGCAGATGTCCACGGGTGTCGTTGATCACTTCGGTGTTCTCGCCGCTCCTTTGCCCCTTTGCCCCTTTCTCTTATAAAAAAAAATAAAGATCAAGATAAATCCAATGGTTATTTCCATATGTATTATACAATATTGTATTGCTTTCAGAACGAAAATGTTCTAAATTTCAGATCAATGTGTCCCAAAAGTAAGAATTTACATATCTACATTCAAACCAAATAAACAAAGTCAAATAAAACTTTTTACTAAAAATACTAATCTCGTCTACATATTTAAAATGTGCGAACGGTATTACATGATGTAAAAAAACATAATCTCTTTTGCAGCATTGCTTTGCGTTACGAACTACATATACGACATAGTCGTTGTATGTTAAATTATTACGACACTAGCTTTCGCCCGCGACTCCGTCCGCGTGGATATATATAAAAACTTAATTAGTGTAGCCCACCCATCCAACCATCAACAACACATCGATCTAAACATTCGCATTTATAATATTAGTAAGTTAAATAAAAGCAACTCTTCAAGGCATAAATTCGAAAAAAATAAATAAAAAAAATGAATAAATAGTACCCAATGTCCGTCTCCTGGCTCTAAGTTACCTCCTCACCAATTTTCAGCCATATCGGTAAAGTCGTTCTTGAGTTATAAATAGTGTAACTCACACAACTTTCTTTTATATATAGATTACTTACCAGTAACGACAATGTATATTGCTTTTAAAATCAAAATAACGATACAATGAAATGTTTCTATGTCTCTATGGTGGTACCTTGTCTCAGAAATAGGAAGAGCTTTTATTTCTACCATGTAGTTCATTCAATTGATTAGTGCGTCATCAAAAGAACAAATGATATGTCAGAAGTTAAGGTAAGGGAGAAGAAAGTTACAACTACGACTATTCCCAAGTTCAAACTAAGAGAAAGCTATATAGTGTAATAAAAAACATGAATAGCCAAATTAGCTGATTTTCTGAGATGCCACTTGACTGGTCGTACTAATGTATAATAAGACGACATAAATGTCCGATATTAATCTGTACTGTTTACACTTGTCCGGTATTTACATAGCAGGTGACACGAAAGTAATTATCATGTCGGAATAAATGTTACAATTGAAGACTCAGTTCCTACAGAGTCATTCAATGTGTACTTTGTACCGTGTGTACATTCAGCTGCATTAATATTGAAGCATTTTCAAACCTTAAGAAACTTATGTACGCCTTTGGTTTTAAAAATATATATGCACTTATCCTTTATGCCGTCAACTATGAATACTTATTGGTGAAGAAACAATTACGTATTTTTGTAACCAAGGTGTTAATAGGAGTCTGATATTTTGTAAATGTTCACATATTTTTGCCACTGACTGTACAGTATTGTAGTCTAATCGTACCTTGCTGCCCTGCTTATAAGATTTTCAATAAAATCAGCCAAACCATTTCGGCTACATGAGATCAGAATTTCAAATATACATCCGCGGATATTTCCTATCCACGAGATAATCAAAACGGGAATAGAGATGCATTAAGTGTTATGCATGTTTTAGAATAGATGAATACAATGTGGTGTCCACAAAAGATATCGTCAGTTGCTTGCATCTGTCCAGTAAAGCGACAGTGAGCGGAAGACTCTCACTTTTGCCGCTATTAGCGCGAGAATGAGACCGATGCGTCTATAATTATGGGCACAGTGCTGCAACTCTTGGTGATAAGCAACTTTGTTGGTAAAGATTTATCTTATATATGCAACTTATATAAAAATACCATACATTGTATTTACAAAGAAATACGTTAAAGTCTTAAAATTGTATGTTTAAGTTACAAAATATATATGTTAAGCTTTAGTTTTGTAAACAATAGTTCAAAGTTGAAACGATGACTAATGCAATCAGAGACGTATAATGAATCATAAAATTAATATGCATAAAACGTCATCATCGTCATCATCATCAGCTCACTATACGTCCCCACTGAGGGGCTCGGAGCCTACCTAAAGCCATGGGTGACTTGGCTATAGTCAACCATGCTGGCCCAGTGCGGGTTGGTTGACTTGATCATTGAATTTCTTCTATGTCATGTGCAGGTTGCATAACGATGTTTTCCTTCACCGTAAGAACGTCAACACACATTGGTACATGGCGGGATTCGAACCCAGGACCTGCAGATTGCAAGTCAAGTGCTTGACCCCTGAGCTACCGACGCATAAAAAGTACAATGTGATAACACCCTAATTTGCCTAAAAGTGTGTATAATTAAATTAAATTATCCAAAAGTCATTATAAATCTTTTAATAAAAAAAAATATACCCAGTATTACAAATATTAAGAACAATTGAACATTAATCAATATTTTTTTTTGTTTGAGTTCTATTATTATTTTACTGTAGCTCCGATAACTGGCACTTCTACCTCATTCTCCCTACGTTCGCGCCGCACCCTCGGCTTTTATCCGCTGCCGGTTGTCATGGCAACGAACCCGACAAATACAAACATGTTTTTGCCGCCGCGTTGCTAAGGACATTTTCATAGTAAAGAGATATGAACTAAGGGAATGGTACCAGTTATTGCCAATTTGTAAATATTGGTTAAAATTAATGAAATAACATTTATTATTAGTATGAAAACTAATAAATTTTTAGACATTGTTGTTGCGTTAGAAACAAACTCTTTACTGGTTTATCTAACACTCGTTATTATTGTTGTAAGTATATTTAATCAATCTGATAAGTAGTTTTCAATTACTTGTCTTAATATTATTTTTTAAATGTTGTTTTCATTGTTTAAATTATTTTAAGAGCCAAACCTAGGTTAAGTAAATATTTTTCCTCAAATTTCTTAATAACGGCGAATTTGTCTTGTATTTTTACATGTTATTAAATATTCTTTCTTTCTATTTAATGGGAAGGTATTCCGTGTATATATTTTCAATGAAATTTTTGTAATTAATCTGTGTATTCTGGAGAATAAATCCTGTTGTAGGCGTATTAGTTTTCTATAAACTAAACTTTCTAGTGGTAGAAACTGAAACAACATCTTTTGACGCCGAATGTGCCAACTCAAAAAGACAGGTGTGTCGCAGACCATTTAGCTTATTGAATAATGAGTGAGGTGTTAGAAGTCTTGTTCTAGTCATCCTTCCTCTTGCCCGCCTTTTCCAGGATGTGAAAGAAGAGAATGGATAGAAGAAGGAAAATATATTTTCTTCTTATCTCTAACTCAAATAACGATGTTGTCAAACATCTAAAACGATTTTTCTTATAGATTGCTAATGACATTGGTCATTTTAGTGATTGTCAATTAACTCGTTTGCCACCTTTTGTTACAAAAAAAATTGTTATGCCGTAATGTGACGTGCCTCAATAGTAATTACCTTTATGAAAGACTTACAACAGATTCATAAATATATTAGCTCATGTTTACACGGAAGTCATGTAATTGATTTTCTTGTAATGTTATGATTTGCATCAACTTCATATGCAAATAAGATAAAAAATGCAAGATTTATTTAATTTAAAAAATTAATCGGATTCTTTTTCGAACGTCGAGTTTTTTCGGTCGGTGGCTAAGGGTCAAGCACTTGCAAGCTGCAGGTCCTGGGCTCGAATCCCGTCATGTACCCATGTGTTTTTCGATTTACATATGTACATTTATCCGACGATTTTAAGGTGAAGGAACATCGTGATGAAACTTGATCATATCTGCGAAGAAATTCAAAGATATATATGAAGTCAACCAACCCGCACTAGGGTCAGCGTGGTTGGCTATGGCCCAGTCACCCGTGATTTTGTGTAGGCTCCGAGGCCAACAATGGGGACGTATAGTGAGCTGATAATTCTTTTTCGAAAGCACTGATATAACTTAATTAAGCGAAAGAAAAAAATTGATAAAAATATTTTAGTATTCATGAAATCGTGAATAATAAGTGTAGGCTATTAACATCGCTTAACACCTCAGTGCACGTGAAACTGCAAGATGTAAGTAGTTTGTTAATAAAGTCTTATAATTTTTAGAATTTCATGTACAACAAAAAGTAATAATTTTCATAAATTTCAACCGATTCAGTTTTGCTTTAAATGAAACCGATTGAGTAAACTAACGTGCAATTTTACATTCTTTCATCGTATATGTATATGTAAATAGCTAGCTATTAAAAGGTGGAACTAATTGCCTAAATGGA